TCAGCACCGAGTGGCACCTGAGCATAACCATACATAGGTAATATTGTCATCATCATTTGTGATGTCCAAGCTGACTACATGCTAGGATATTACAACACCATGGCCTTGTTCGGTGCTTCAACGTTTGGCTATGGTATGCTTCTTTACTATGATTGTATGCTCATCCGACTGATGTCATTGTAGTAGCAATCGATGATGCCGGCGGTCGACGCAGAACCTCCACTTGTGGGGTCTGCGTCTTGAGCTAGTCACACGGTGCGTGCGCCGTTTTCACCCATATAGAGAACTTGTTAATGATGTTCTCGCATGCAGGTATCTTTGACTTTCCAGTTATCGCGCTCTGGCTCTGCTGAAGTGCACTTATGCACATCAGTGATCCAGAGCACAGGCTGTGTGTCTCTTTAATGAGTATTGCATATGCTACTGTACCATATAAGACCCTCTAGCATGTAGTAGCCTCAGGAGACAATAATATATGATTTTGTGATTTTTAATGTGGATATATGCATGCCGTAGGGTACCGGGAGCGAGCCACGAAGAACAGAGCAATATCCATGAACGTACATTGCAAGGATATCTGGCTGGATATTGCCAAAACATTGCATGGATTTCCGTTAAATCCTGGCAATATCCTTTTAAATATCCTGGCAATATCCTTGAAGGATATCGCCAGGAAATTCGGGATATTCCTGCAATATCCTGCCGTGGATATTTGGCGTGATGTGCAGTGTTTGTAATTGTCCCCAGTCATGTGCTCTGCTATGCCATCTTTCTGTGGTGTCTGTTCATGTATTCAAAATTAAAACTGATCACTGATGTTCCTCTGCTATGCCATGTTTCTCTGATAACTGTTATTTGAAACTGGTGCTCATCACCAACTTATTCAAGTTTCAAATAACAGAATGAAATTTGGCTATTTCTATACTGTCCTTGCTCTGCTTTATATAATCCCTGAGCTGCAGTTTAACTCTTTTTCAGTAATTTGTGCATCATTTGTTTTTAGTGCTGCTTATCCCATTGATTTGTTCCACATCACCATCAGGCTGTGTCCTCCTCATTGAGCATTATCCTTCATTGAATGAAGGCATCCAGTTCATTGCATGACTCTCTACAGGTACCACACAACCACATCAACTTGATCTGCAGCCATACATAGTCCATGATGTGGCCTATATTGCTGTTCAGGTCTGACCTGATAATGAATGCCATCATATACACTGCGTTGCTCATATTGTCGTATCATTATCCTTCCCCACCTTTCTGCGGTGCCTGTTATTTGGAACCGGCGCTCGTCGCCTCTACACCCAAGTGCGAGCGCCGAGAAGCACATGACCCAGATCTCGATGCAATGCCTTCCGCAAACGGACCGCGCCACCCAGTTTGCACGAACTCGAACACACCGCGCACACCGGACACGACCAGCGTCCCCTTTCCGACGGCCATCGCCATTGCCTCATCGCCTGCCCGCGCGGGTGTCCTCAACTTCATGACGGTCTTCGTCCCACTGCAGGCGTCGTCGCCGTTTCCGCAAGCACCGTCATTTCTCATGCCTTCGCCAGAGCCAGCCGCACATGTCAAGAAGGTCGTTAAAGCCGTGATGAAGGCGCGCAGGATCGCAGTCGTTTGCGGTGCGTGGCGAACGTTGCGCACGTTTTCAAGCAAGCGATAATTTTGCTTTCTCTTGTAGGTGCTGGGATCTCCGTGCAAGCAGGCATCCCGGACTTCCGCTCGTCTGACGGGCTGTTTCAAAGCCTGAAGAAAGACAACCCAGCCCTGAGCTCCGGGAAAGACTTATTCGATGCATCAGTATTTAACGTGAGTGTTTTTGAGACCGCGATGTATTCTCGTGCACTCTGGTGTATTCCGTCTCGATGACGACTCCTGGCATTGTTGTGGTGTACGAGTTGCGATGTAGCCGGAGGCATCCCACGGCTTGTCGGTGAGGCGACAGGTCAAGCTCAGGCTCTCGTCTTATAGATGAGTCCACGGCATCTCTCATCTTTATAGCCCATCGCAGATAATCGTCCAACGGTCGCCCCACGAAAGCCAAACCTACTGCCAACAGGCGTATCGGGACTATGCGTGTCCGATGCAATCAATTAACAGACGGAGGCTGTTCTGCAACGTGGCGCGAGCGGATAATATGCCGTATGGGTCTTGTCACCTGCTCCTCGCTACATGGAGAGATGTTTGCGCATACGTCAAGCTCACCTGTACAGATTTGTCATGTGCAGACGTAATGCTGACGTTAATTCGCCACAGTCCGAGGGCACGACATCCATGTTCTGTCAAATGATAGCCCAACTGTCTGAACTCTCTGAGACTGCTGTACCGACCTCCTTCCACAAGTTGCTTCGTGTGCTGGACGACCGCCGACGTCTTCTCCGCGTCTACACGCAGAACATAGATGCTCTTGAACAGAAATCAGGCCTTACCTTCGGCGTCCCCGAGGTGGACTGCAAGAGGTACAAATATCGCTCGACGAAGGGAAGGCACGATGTTCCTGAGGATCCTGGTCCTTCCACTGCCGTTGAGCCGCCACACATTCGACTTCTCACTCCGCCCATGGAGACTCCCCGATGCATACCTTTGCACGGTACGTTGCAGTCGATGCATTGCCAGACATGCACGCACTCGTTCCCGTTGCGAGAGTATCTACCTGCGCTCAGCGAGGGGAGACCGCCGTATTGTCCCGAATGTACCGCCGTCGAGGAGACTCGCCAACTGGTAGGCAAGCGCTCGCGAGGAGTAGGGAAGTTGCGTCCAAGCGTTGTGCTGTACAACGAGATGCACAAGGATGGTGAAGAGGTCGGCGATATCGTGAGGCGAGACCTCATAGGTAGCTCCAAGGGAAAGGGGCGAGCGGGCGCAGACCTACTGTTGGTAGTGGGTACCAGCTTACGGGTGCCCGGAACCAAGAGGATTGTGCGAGAATTCTCCAAAGCAGTCCATTCTCGTCCATTGCCTTCGAGCGGCTCACAGAGCGAGCATTCTACCACCGAGATGGGCCTCGCCACTCCTGCGCCATCGCCACGCCGTTCTCCTGCGTATGAGGAAGAGGCACCTATTAGAGTCATCTATTTGAACCTCGACTTTCCGGTACCTACGAGAGAGTGGGATGGCGTATTTGACGTCTGGATAAGAGGAGATGCGCAGGAGTTCGCGCGGATGGTACATGAGGAACTGGAGAGGGAGGAAAGGGCGAAGCAGGCTTCTGCAGAGAGGAAACGGCGAAGGGAGGAAGCTGCATTGGCGACAAAATTAGAGGAGAGCTTGCAGGTCAGCAATGCGAGCGGTACCAAGAAGCGAAAGGGTGGCCCTCAATCGGAGGCACGTTCATCATCTTCATCGACGAAGAAACGCAAGGTGGCGCCGTATAAACCTCAGATGTCGAAGCGGCCGAAGGCCAACGTTGCGAAGGTTAGCGAGAATGCCCGGTTGATCCTGCCCGTCGTGAAGAAGAGCAGACCACAAGCGCGCAAGACAAAACTGACGATTAGGATTCCTCCGCGCCCCGAGGTGCTGATCACGACTGTGCCACCCAAGCTGAAGAACTCTATGTGCAAGAGTCCCTTGCCTACGCCTCCTGACTCCCCGCTGACACCGATACCGATGTCATCGCCGAGGCCGCGGCATAGCAGGACTCCATCCTCGGGTTCCGGCACATGGAGGACTGCTGGACGGAACATCCCTCAACATGCTCCATACGAGAGGACCGATGCCCGTACCGGGTCGCGACGAGGCAGCTTTGACTGGGATGATCGAAGCTCTCTGACTGAGCTGTCAGAGTCGGACGAAGACGCGACGAATGAGTCCGCCGAGTCGTACTTTCCGACAATTCGTTGTGATGCCCGTCGACATGGACCAGGTGGATAGTAAACGTTGATACACACTTACGGACTGTATATTATAGTCATCGAACGCTTATCGTATTTTATTCTGTAGCTATTGTGTACTATATGCCCACATGCATCGATGTTTTTTTTTTTTTTTTGAGTACTATTTATATACCGCCGAAGGCGGTCGTAGGTGTGGGTACAAAGTGGTGTCTACGGCGGACTGGGCGCACCCAGGATCGGATACAGGGCATGCATAGCAGCACGATAACAAAGAAACCCCTCAGCCTGGGTCCCAGGGAACCAGCGAGGTCTTGGTGAATGCATCCGTCTCCGTGAGGAACGCCGCGAGCTTTTGTCGAGCGTGTTTGGAGGCGAAAAGCCGCTTGAGTCGAATGGGATGTGCAGGGTTGCCTAGATGGTGGCGACTGTGGGTGTAGAGCGGGCAGTGGACGAGCAAATGCTCGCGTGTCTGTAGGTTAGTGGTGCGGCACTGGCACTGTGTGGATTCTTCTGCCATGAAGCGATGGTAATAGCTACCGACGTGACCATGCCCCATGAGCAGCTGGACAAGTCGGCACTCGACATTACGATGGTCTTCGTTCTTCTTGAAGTAACGATGCAAGGTTAATTTAGGCTTGGTCGTGACACAGATAAAAGCATCATAAGCCGGATCTGAGTTTTCCAGATGACTGATTCCGGCATTACAGCACATATTGTAACTGCGAGCTTCTCATTTACTTTCTTCAGTACCAGGCTCTTTCAGCGATTCGTGCCGACTTACCTTTAAGGGGGGCGGCAGTTAGTGCGACGGACTGCACGCAGCGGAACAAGTGCCCAAGTGCCCAGGGAGGTGGCCGGCGACCACGGCACTGAACTGGAGCTTTCCAGCAGCGGCCTAGCACGCCGTGGCGACTGCGTTGCACCCTATGGCATTGAAATTAGCGTCGTCTGGGACGCGAAGGGTCAATATAGGCGTACCGATCTGGCAGAAGCCATAGGCGGTGGGTTCTGCGCCAATATTGCTATGGCAAGAAGCAGTCCAACGAGGGCAACGACGGAGAAGTTCATGAGTGCGCCAGAGAGGGGCTTGAACTCGATCGTGAACGAGTCTGACCATCCTGACAGCGCCGTACCTACGACAAACACCGTGCTTCGCACCAGAAAATGCCGTGATATTGTGTTGCAAGGTTGTCCGCCGATGGAGGCCATAGACGCAATGGGAACAAAATTTGTTAGGAGCTGCGAGCAGCAGGGTGTGAAGAGGTGGAGAAACGCTTAAGCATAGTTCAAACGCTTGCAGTATTTGTGGCATTCAACCTAAAGGCCTAAAAGTTTCGCGACGATCCTGAGCCATACGCATAAGTACCGAGAAGTGGTGTGTTTACCTCGCAGACCTCTTGCCTCATGCGGAGGTTCGCATTTCGTGTCGGACGATGGAAGGTTCGTTCGCCAAACAAGTGCGACGCGCTGAATCGCCGCCTTCGATGCAACCAAGCGACATAACCTTGCCAAATTCGGCGCGTGATCCGGTCTGCTCCGGTCATTGATTATGCATGGGGCCCCGCAAAGGCTTGACGTTGATTGATGCATGATGCATCGAGTTGCGTCTTTAATTACAACACTATTGACTGCATTGAACACCGAACAGACTCCACCAAGCGATTCTCAACCTGCTCGACCAAGAACTGCAAGGAATGTCAGAGCACCACTTTCAATCAAACGCAGTATGCTACGCGCGCCCGGTGGGCATTGTCGAACTGTCCACTCAGGTTCTTATCGATTTTGCTAGCAAGTACTGACGAGTCGCATCCGATTGAGGTATTCAGGAAGTGAAGGTATCCTCCAAGCTGCCTCTCACATTATTGCTAGGCCGTCATTAAGTGGGCTGCATCGAGGCCTCCACGCGGGCGTTACCATCTCCGTACCCGTCTCCCAGCCCGCCCCAGTCATCTCAGGACCTTCTCTGGTCCCGGCGCCCTGGCGAGCCTTCCTGCGTCCGAACCCCCATCCTCGTCTCCTGGCCCTCGTTGTCGTCCCTGCCCCTACCACCCCAGGCCCTCCTACCCCCGCTCCTGCTCCCCGCGGCGGCCCACAGCACGCCTCACAGAAGCCGCAGCACAGGATTGCGGCGATCAGCTGAGCGCCGTGCCAGTGATTTCAGTCCGAGAAGCTTCGAGGAAAGTCAATTTCCGACGCTACACTCACACATGCGAGGCCAAAAAAGACCAGCTCGAAGACGCCGATCATAGCTGCCACAGTTCCGACAAAGAACGAGATGAGGATGCCCTGGTCGGATCCGCGCATGGTTCAGTGCTTTGCACTAGTCAGTATCGTTTGAACTGTGTGCTCACCATGATGATTATGATCGAGTGCGCAGATGAATCAGTGGGTCGTTTATGTTCGTGAAAAGAGGATAAGAGGGCAACGAACGTGTATGCTCTTGTCCGCTTGTACGCCCATACATTTTATACTCTCTCCAGCGCTGCATGTTGAGCCACATTTCCTGACGGGAAGCCTGAGATGTCAAAAGAACACTTGAAATGTCTTGGACATATCCTTGCAACAAAACCGTCCTAGACCTTCTATCCCCACGCAGACAGCCGATCGGAGTTGGGTAGGCTTCAGTACGACGATAAGGGCCCACGCCTCCCTATATAGTACGTGAGCATCCTCATTTGTGCTTGCGTCTTTTGCTAACGTAGCCATATAATTCCACTGAGACGTACGTTCACGATGCCAAATTTCGAAGGAGGATGCTCCGATGAACCTATTCTTGCGCATGAGGACCCAACAATCCTCAGTGCAGCGACGTCGATTCCACACCTAGCAGGCTGCTACGGAGAAGGGTGGTGCGTAAAAGTGGGGCGCTCCAGCATACATCACGCTACACGTCCACGCGGATATCCAGATATCATAGCGAGATGACCAGCGTCACGTTGTATATAGTGTACGGCATTACACGAGGCAGACCCGGGGACGAGTGATAGCACCTGTATAGTACGTAAAAAGTCCAGAGGGACGCGAACAGATTACCCTAAACAAATCTAAGCGCCCAGTGACGAAGAGTATCCGTATAGATATAAGGAACGAAGTACTGATACGACGGTAAGTTAGTCTGACAGGAGGCAATCAACCTTTATAGGTCGGGTACAGTTGGGGGAAAGGGGGGTTTGTTTGAGTAATGACGGGAAAGAATGTAGGATGAGGGCATGGTAAAGTCTATGACAAAATTGCATAGGCTGAGGAAGCGTCCGTGGCCACACACTATAGATACGGAGAACCAAAGTCGATATGCTACTCTGTATATCATGGAATGCGTCCCGCGATGCGGTCCTGGACAACCTGGACAACAGTCGGTGCGTAAACCGGGATCTGGGTGCCTTGGAAGCCTTCTGGATAGTTTGGCCACAGCTGCTCGGGATAGGTGTGATACCTATGTGATATGCTCAGCTCAGTATATGATCATACGGGATCGAAAATGGAGACGTACGTATCATTCCAGACGGCGACGTGCCGCATCCCGAGCGCCGAAGCTGTCCATTCATAATCGTGCGCAAAACCTTGCGGATAGAAAATCTCGATGATCGTCGAGATGGGCGTAACCGGCATCATAATCAAGTGCTGCCAAAAATGCACATCAGCATACACGGAAGCGAGGAAGACAAATGATTCCCCCCCCACCGAAAGGCCGTTCCCGTGCACACCGATCAAAACCTGATGCAGCGGCGTTAGCAGACGTCTTCCCGATAACTCGGCTGCCCTCACCGTCGTGCGCGCGACTATCTCGAGCTGTTCCTCCTTCGTGATCCGTTCAGCCTGCATCACATTCAGCTCCCAGCCGTGACTCTTGCACATCTCCGTCAAAGCGTCCACCAGCGCCACATGATCAGCCCCGATCAAGTGTCGACGAGAACCCTGCCTGCTGACATAGGTCACCACGACGGGCGTATCGAGCGGTGCCGCATTGGCAGCATGCTGCTGGGGCGACGTCCTCCCCCGCGCAGACGCCGCCGCGTCCACTCGCACGCCAATGTCCATCGTGCGTTCACCTACACCAGCGAAGCGCAGGACGGACCGCCTGACCGGCTCCCACCAATACTTCGCCAGCGTCCCAACCTTCTGCGCGTGCTCGAGCGCCTCGCCTGCGATGCGCTGCGTCCGCGACCCACACGCCTCCCCGCGGAACGCGGCGGAGCGGTCCGTGAGCAGGACGGTGTCAAAGTGCCATGCGCGCGCGGGATTGTTGGACGCGGTCGCGGCTATCCGGTCCTCCCAGTCTGTCTCTGTTTCGACGGTGATGGATGGGAATGCCGCGCGGAGGAAGTACGCGTTGAACCCGGGACGGTCCCTCCAACCGAGTGTGTCAGCATGTGAGAAGATCATGCGGTCGAAAGACGGCGCCGTCGTGACGCCTGCAGACGACGAATCCACCACCGCGTTGAATGCACCAGACCAGAACGCCCAGGCGCCAAACAGCAGTTCAGCACAGAAGTGATAATAGTGGTCTAGGAATTGCGGCGGTTCGTTCACGAGGACCGTGTTTCCCTGCACAGGCCATAGGCGGTTGCGCTCCCCCACGGTGGGGTCGCCTCCCCATAACTGACGCGCCTCGGTTGGGGTAAGGAAGTCCATCTCGTCCGCTGTGGGCATACGGGCTGCGATATTTTCTGGTGTGTTCTCCGCCGAAAGACCGGTTGATGTCATGAACATGATGTCAGGAAATGACGAGGCTGGGTGAGAGGAGACGATGAACAGTGTGCCGTTCGACATGTACAGATTGCGGAAGACAGTCCATCCAGGAGCCTGCGACACTATCGTAGTCTCAGGGAAGTCGTAGGCGAGATCGACCGTCGGGATGCCTCCCCCCTTTTCAAGGACTGCCTGCTCCACACGTTCCTTCGGCGAATTCGTGTCCTCCAGCTCATTTTGGCCACTGAGGGAAGCGTTAAACTCCTCCATGAAGTGCGAGCTGACCTGCGTGCTGACGATTATGGAATTCGGCGGCTCCTGGTAGCCCATGAAGACGGATGCCAGATGCATGGTCGTTGCACCGAGGAGGATGAGGACCACATCTCGCAGAGAACGCGTCCGGGGAAGACCCATCGTGTGAGCGATCGAGTGAAACCCAACAGGGAAAGCCTACGAGCGGAGGGGCATGAACAAGGGAAACGAAGGCCGCTGTGGATTCTGTCTGCTTTAAAGTGTTGGAATCCATCGCAAACCGCTTTGACACCTTCCGTATCGGGATGAGCGGGAGATTAAAACCTCGTTCATGTGACCAGATTTTATCTCGGCGTGGGGTTCGCGGCCTTGATTTTGGCGTTCCGAACAGCGGAAAGCTTCAATCGGAGCATCAAATCATGTGCCTGACCGTTGTGGCTCGTGCGCATCGCCAGAGCCTGGCCACTCTCCACGACTCTTGCATTGATAGTGTTCTAAGATATTCATCATTTCGCTACCTTCGACATACGCGATGCTGTTGAATCTGATGCTGCCGTTGTTCTAAAACGCAGGCAGAAATCTAGAGGTTAGCCGTAACCATCCAGTTCCCCCTAGTCTCCCCGAAGACGCCTGATGATGCCAAGGCGGATGTGTAGCGACTCTGACGTGCAAGGGGCGTTACGGTTCGCCACCCCCTCCTAGCCGGCACTCTTAGCTGTGGCATAGTCTCCCCGCTGATGTGGCACCAGGCCCCTCACTGTCCATCGTGCGATGCGGGTTTAGGACGCATTCAGATTTCCCGACCAAATACCGTTCTCCGCGTTCTCAGTGCTCCCTGGGGTTTTGCAATTCGTCATTTTCGCATTCTCTTGTGCGACCGCTATGCTGCGAATTTCGTCGAGGGTAGCAAAGTGATCCAATGCGATCCATAAAATCTTATGAGTTCTCCTGTTCAAGCGATCGAGCAGAACCTGTTGTGGTCGCCTGGAACGGCCTAGTCAATGTACTTTGTCGATTTAGAGTTGTAGTGGACATGCCAAGGATAAGCAAGACGAACTCCTCTCGGATGAGTTGGCCCTTCACATGCACACTCTGCGCGCCATGCTGAGTATCTACACCCAAGGACACAACTTCGCTATCACGTATCCGAGAAGAATCCCAGCAGGCCCGCCCACTCTCCCACACCAGGCTCCTGCAGAACGCCGCTCGACAACTTCTTGAGGCGCACTTTGACGAACTCCTCCAAGAATAAGGTGGGCTCCTTAGCCCCGCTGTGCAGGAACTCGCGAACGTGCATCTCCCACTTCTTGATCAGACAGAACTTGGCCTCCCCTGACATAAGGTATGTCCTCCTGCAGAACGGCGGCAGGCGCTCTCGGTATGCCATGATGGCAATCTGTGCAATCCAGTAGTACGTCAAGGCCTGTTCGAGGAAGCGCGGGACCCCGTCCGAATACGGCGGCGAATCTGGCGAGCCCAACCAGCTTTGGAGCCAGTTGTGCAGGGTGGCCTGCAACGCCCATAATCGTTTTTCGCTGATGCGGTTGGCATGCTCAAGGAAAGCGTCGCCGTCTGTCGCGACCCCTGACAATCGAGACTCGATGTCTTCCTCGAAGAACTGGCGCAGAATCGCGTGGATGACGACGAAATGTGCAAAAGGGGAGAGTACGGGTGCAGGGTGGAGCGAATCGCCCGCATTCTCCAGCCGCGCATAAGTTCCCTGGAGAGAAGGACCGCGAAGGCGCTCCGAGATCTTTCCGTACGGCGATGGTTTTTGGAGGATCGAAAGCCACTCCTCTGCTGTTGTAGCCGCCCATAGAGCGTTCTCACAAGGGAGGTCGATGTCGAACTCGGATGTCACGTAGGTGGGACGGAGATCGTAATACAAGCAATGACAGCCATCGTGCAAGTACGAGAACGTGAGAGCCCTGCATGCACACCGATGTCAGCAAGGAATGCTACGTGAAAGATGATAAAATGCTATTCACCTCTTAGCAGTTTCTCGAACTGCCCAATCGCGCCAAAGTCGATCGAGTGCAGATGGATCTATGGTTTCCGGCGCTGTCCACTTCGAGATCTGTTCGCCGAAATCACTTAAACGAATCATCTACGAGACCTTCAATACCGCTTGAATATGTCCACATGTATGCACGTACCATTGTTAAGACTCCATGATAAACAGTTGAAAGCGTACGTTGCTTCGAGGTTTGGTGGAATAAACCCAGAGTTTGTAAGAGATCCACAGCGAGGATGAGTTCAATTTGACGCTCCCAATCGACGGACTCCTTTCCCTGTATACAGGTTAAGCAATATTGCCAATGTACAACCCACATAATATAGATAACTTACAAACTCGACGATGAGTTCGTCTCTCGCTTTCGCAAGGACCGAACTGATGAATTGGTCGGCAGCACGTGTCTTGACATACAATGCGCCGCACGCTTGCATGGCTGCAAGCAGCAGCGGCGATTTCCCCTCGAACTTGAAGGTAGCTGAATGAATGATGGGCATGTTTGGCAGATATGCGGAGAAGAAGAGATTGACTGCAACACCGCTTCAATGAGAGATCATTACGACGGTAGCAGAGGTACGTACGGTAGGACTGAAGATCCGCAGATGATGGGCTGTTAGAAACACTGGATGTCGACGATAGAGAGGCACCGTAGCTATTTCCCGGCGTACTTTGAATTGATGTTATATCTCGATTGTTAAACAGATGACTGGGCAACAGTGTTTTGTCGACATTGGTTGAGAATGGAATATATGGATGAAGTTCGGGTAGCGATTCGTCACTCCTGGTCCTATCACTATAAGAACTAGGGAACATCTGATGGCTCGAGTTGAAGATATTATCGAAGAGCCCGTCAAACATCTCGCTCGCGAAAGGGTCGCCGGACATATTCTCCGGGGGTAGTATTTGTTGGTCTATTAGAGCGAACATGGAGCTGCTGTCGATCATAAAGTCGACCGAGCCGGTGGAAACAAAGGAAGGGAAGGCGGGTCCCAGCGAGAAATCATCCCGGTCGTCCTGCATCGCGAACGCCCGCAAACAGTCGTCTTGACCTGATGATGAGCCAGAAGAACCGGGACTCGTTGCAACCAATAACGAGGAATCCGCCATCGCAAGCGGTCCGGCTAGGAGGTCGCCTATATCTAGCATTTGTTGTTTGACTGCGCGAGATCCCGACGCAGCAGGGGCACCGTTCACGTAAATGCAGTCACGACTACGGTTTCTACATTTTGAACAGGGTTGTTGCAGATCGCACTTCACCTTGGAGTCGGCGCAGGCTTGACATGACCTTCGTCGAGAACGATTGACGTGGCCCCTTCACACAGAAACATGTCAGATCATGCACGATGCGATGTCAGATAAGAACACAACGCTCCATCGACAGCATTGCACGCACACTATTGCTTCATGCAACAGAACCCGTAGTTCCCAGCTTCAATTGCCCCTCGCACATCGTCCAAAAGAAGCGAGACAAAGAAAGCTTCACACACTCGCTCGATCAAATTGTAACCAGGTGCTGGATGGCATTTAAGGCGCATATATGCAGCAAACTCGAGCGATCATGGCTTGGAGAGCTGGCAATTGACAAAAGCTCGAAACAGCAGCTCTCTTGAAACCCCCAAGGATGGTGAATTGCTAATGCCACTTACTGATCGCTGCAACTGCGTTTGTGCCTCGTTAGGAGGTCGCTCCTGGTAAACTGAGAATGGCATCTCTAGAGACAGCGCAGCTCGTTAGCCAAACATCTGACCCGCAGCACAGCGTTTCCTCACATCGCACTCGTGCAGTTTCTCCCTCGTGTCTGAATACGATCAGATCAGCAAAAACGTGGGGTCGAAGATAGGAGAGACCTACGCGTCCGTATGTGACGGCTCAAATGAGTTGTACGAGTGAACTTTGCAGGACATATGGGGCAGAGCTTCGTCTGGGGCACCGAGGGCACATTGCCTTTGTGTCGCCGAATCCTGGATGAGATACCGTCCCTCTTCACTTCTATCGTCCCCTGAACATCGGTCGTACTCGTCGATGAATTGAGCGAGATCGTCGACTCCACGAGCTTACTTGACATGATCAGTTCTGCTTGCTACCGAGCTTGCGAGGAGTATGTGTATGTGCGGTACGCTCTCCGAACACTGCAGAGCAGCTTTTATGCGTGCTTAGGAGATGACGTGGGGGGTGCGCGTCCGCTGCGCCGACGGCAGTACTAAGCGGACGGCAAACGCCAGGACAAGTCAGTCAGCGAGAACTCAGCGAGCGACGCTTAGCGCCAGGCGTCTGTGCGCGTGGCGGTGCAATGAATGGTGTTACATTGAACGAAATACAAGGTACATAGGCCGCCCTGCGCCCTCACATACTGTACATATCGCGAATGCTCCGAATAACCTGACAGAATAATGAGCAACCAGTGATGAGTTGTTATACAATGCCCACGCTTTTCGTACATATGAGAAATGAAAGACAACAGCAGAACGAAGCACAAAAGCAAAAAACATACAACGTTCGGCGAGCGATAACAATTCCCAATAGCGATCGGTCAGACACGGGTAGAAGCCTACCCTCCGATGCCTCATCGGAGTCTTCTCCCTCTTCACCACTGCCACGCCCCCACTTACGATTTCATTTCCCTTTCAAACTTTGCACGAAACCCTTAATTCCTGCAAACCGCTGTTTATGACCAAGCTGGCTTCGCGAACCCGGCATCGTGTTCTGCCACGCATCGGGAGACGCGAATCCCATCTTGGCCAGCTTCGTGGCACGAGCAACTTGTCGTTCCTTAATGGTCAAGCTCCTATTCGGGCTGAGGAACGTGTCTTGCGCAGGTGCAGTCGATACTCGCGAGAGCGGGATGCCAGCGAGCAAACTGGAAGGCCCGAAGATGTCGCTCTCAGGATCAGGGGTGCGCGAACGGCACAGCCTGGGCCTCGAGTCGGCATATGTCTCCGGATTAACATTGAGATGCGACCCCTTCGGGGGTGTTAGCGAAGAGACGAAGTCGCTGCTGGACCGCACGTCCGACAGGGCTGCAGTTGTAGCGACCTGAGACCCGGACGTGGGGAGATAGTTAGTCGATGGCAGTGACCCATCCTGTCGCGGCGGTTGGAAAAGCTCTGATCCAGCTGGGCAAGGGGTACGCATCAGCCACACACATCACCCGTGATGGCAACCAATATATGCTTTACCTGAGCCAGTGCTCGTATTTGGTCTCCTTGCTCTCGTTGGTCTCACCGTATTGCTGTACGACTTCTCTTCCAGACTAAACTTCCTATCCAGCCTGCGCATAATGGAGCTCCTGTCTGCATCTTCATCTGGGTATTCTGGCACGCCATGAGACATACGGCTCGCGCTGCGAGCGGTCGACGTGCTCGTCTGGCGCTCCTCCTCCTCCTTGAACTTCCGCTCGATAGCCAAGCTCTCGCCGTACGCAGCAAGAGCCGCGCTCAACGGGGTCCAGCCGATGCCATTTCCTTCGCCTGCATTATAGTCCGTCTCAAAGATATCTTCCATGTCAAGGATGCTGCGCTGAGCACGCTGCACCAACGCCTCTGCCTGGGCGTGGGTCGATATCGAGCGTATGTCAATGTCAAGAGCAGCCTTCAACTTGGAGGATCGATCTACGTCACGCAAACTCGACGGCGTCCGACGAACATGGTGGCGTCCACTTCCATCCGAGTCCAACGCGGGATACTCCGGTGGCGTAGAGCCATTCGAGGAACTGTATGGCGTGGGGAGCTGTGCACTGGTCTGCCCAGGGGTGGTGAGATAGCCGCTCGTCGTCGTCGTACTCATACTACTCATCGAATCGCCCCGCAGCCTGTTCTCGTTTCCATGAGCGCTGGCGAAATCTGCGACCATCGGCGAGTCGACATCCTCAGGCGGCGGGCTGGTGATACTGAACGGGTACTCAAACTGAGCCGAGGGTATAACTGCGCCGGGCGAAGGCAGCGGTGAGGACGGCGTCCGGGTCGGAAGCATAGAATGTTTTTTTCTCCGACCTTCCAACTTCAACGCGCTCAACTGGGTATGCAACGCAAGGGTATCCGATGTGTCAGCGTTGGCGTCAGAAGACATGCTTCCCGGCACCACAACTATGCCGTACTGCTCGTCTTCGTCTTCATCCTGGCCCAAAGCGCGCGCCGACACAAGCTCTTCGACCTGCTCGGCTATACGTCCCGTCGGATCGACTTCCGGAGTCCTTCCCAGCGGCGAGCGGGGACTGTCTGGAGTGATGGAACCACAGATAGAATTGATACTATGGACGGACTTGAGGCCCCTCGCCGGACTGTGGCTTGCCTGTCGATGCAAGTTGTGGCGCTTGGATATAGCGGAAGCCGCGGAGAACGTCGAATCAAAGCGAAGAGCGCGTGCTGAAGGTGGTCCCACGGAGCCCGAGCGACGCATGCCTATCTGCGCTTGCTCGGAAGAGACCGATCTATGGTGTGGACGCAGGATGGTAGGTCGAGTCGACTGTCGTCCAGTGCTGACAGTGGCTGCTGCACCGCTAGCTTCGAGTGACATGAAGCTCGCTGGATTCGAGTGGGCCCTCAAACGATCATCCGATTGTGCACGATGCAGAGCAGTCGAAGGTGAAGATTGCAGCGTGGTCAGCACATCGCCTGCGCTGTACAGTCGTCCACGTGCCAGCTTGCAAGTGCTAATATCAACGGGGGAGCCGTCTCCGGATAGATCGACAGCACTGTTCGATGAAGTGTCGGTGGAAAATGGTGAAGTGAGGCCTGCAAATTGTGAAGGGACAGGAGATGGAGACGAGGACTTCAACGTGCTGGCTTTGTTTGAGGACAGGTTGCTAGATGAAGTATCGGGAGTGGCAGCATCGCTAGCACTCTTCTTGAATAGGTTGAGTAGAGAAATTTTGCCCTTCACCTTATGGGCTGCATTGTCTGCATCTGTATCAGCAGATCGAGGACGCCTCGTCTTCGAGCTGTGACTATGCGACTGTGGCATGGAAGGGTCTGACTGCTGGGAATTAACTACGTCAGGAAGTGATGGTCGACGTGCGAAGTGATCGGCCCCCGTAGTGGGGGTCACAATGGAGTGAAGAGAAGTATCGCCTAATGTCTCCGCTGGCATCACAGGAGACGCAAGAATGGTCTCAAGGACGTGGACAGGTTCGTCTAGATGAGAAGGCGAGTGCACGTGTGAAGACGACGGCTTTAGCATGTTGAGGGCATTGTCAATGGACTTCTTCACACGAAGCCTCTTCCTTCCTGCGCATATGCGGCAATCGAGGTTTCCACAATACGGATGCGTCTCGCCAGGAGTTCCCGCACCCGAGTCTCTGTTCTGAGAAAGGGTGAGTTCGTCTTTCGCCCTGAGGTCCCTGTCTTTGTTGTGCGACCACTGTTGGAGCACATCGGCGCATGCTGCGAATCCGTTCTGGCGGGCCAGCATCTCCGGAGTCGTTCCGTGCTTGTCGGCACGATCAGGATGCGCTCCATGCATAAGCAAGATGAGAACAATTGAGAGGTGACCATTGGCACATGCAAAGTGCAGCGGAGTAGAACCAGAAGTCCCCACAATAGGCTGTGACCCATCGCGACTCTTCTCGCTCGAATATCGCCGAGGCAATCTGTACATCGATGTAATTTTTTCTCGATCTCAATCAATCAGGTGCATGTCAGTTGTGGCTCACCGTGGCGCATTCACATCCGCTCCTCTGTCAATCAAGAGACGCACTACCATGTCGTTGCCCCCGGAGCACGCAACGTGCAGCGGAAGCACACCGTCGAGGACAGAGTTGATGGGTTGCCCATGCTCGAGGGCATATTTCACCAGTCCCAGATTACCGTTAGCAGCCGCAGAATGCAGGCCGAGGTGGGGAACTATGGAGGGTTGTCAGTGACGGAGAGTCCCTAAACGGTGACGCGACGCACAGTCTATTGTGACATTGTATTTCGCCTGGATCGCTTCGGTCCGTTGAGGCCTTGACACCACAGGCATGATGACTAGAGGGTTCGGGTTGGAGCACTGCTCAATACTAGGGCAAGATAAATGGAAAGAGGTGGCTAAGTGTGCGTGTGATGACGCCTGAGCGAGGATGCCTTGATGCCGGGGTTCCTCTTCTCTCCTTCAGTGCGTGAAGCAGTCCAGAACGGAACGCACGCCAGGAAATGAGGGTTGGCGTGACTCTGGCTGGCCAGATGGGCGCAAAGGCCTGCCTCGAGGGAGAGGGCGTGTCCTACAGGGTGACGGGGCGGAAGAGGGAGCACGGCGTTCAGAAGGAAGGAGAGGAAGAGGAGGACCCGTTCAAAGAGGGAAAGCGGGCGGCTATCGGGTGACATAAGCTTCCGCTGGACAGATTCATGCTCTCGGACCTGCCGCTTTAATCGTTCAATTGACTTCATTTCTGTAATATCCATCTCGTTGCTTCCCGCCCGCGTTGCTGCTGCTACCCCTTCAGCCTAACTATTTCCGCACCGCAGAGCACACCCATGTCGCTGGTGGGTCCTCGCAACGATCTGTGCGTCCCCAAACAATAGCAGCGCCTTCTTTTTCTCACTTTCTCCGGATCCAATATCGGCGTCCCGTCTTGTTTGGAATGCACTAACAACTCGTCTATAGTTCATCTATCCTGCGCGAGGCAAGGCACAGTGCGCTGTTGCACAGCACTGGCTGTGATCCCTGCGTTTGATCGATTCCGATGCACACGCGGTGTTCGGCTTCACCCGTGCCAACATAGCATTTGTCTTGCACCATGCACAACGACCGCACAGCTGCACCACACTCATCTGATGCAGACTTGAGTTTGATGAAAGTCCTCTCGTTCAATTTGTTGGTCAAGACCTGGCAACTTGGAATCATGTATTCTTTGAATAAACGCCGCTTGGCATCATCATCAAGATATACAGAAAGGGTCATTGAGACCATTATTTGGCCGGTATCATTCTTGGAGCTGTACTTGGTGCGCGAGCGTGGAATCGGTGCTACTAACAAGTCCCTGCCCATTGTTGCCAAAGGGATGCGGAGAACAGGTGCCCACTGTGATGAGTGTCCTGATTCATCACCCGCCATCGGAGGATATATCACCGGTTCGCCACAGCATTTGATGCATCGAAGTCCTTGTGGCCTTCTGACGCTCCAAGGCCGCGTCGACGTTCGAGCAGCAGTAATACGTGCTTGGGCAGCAGTAATCTCCGCGGTGCGTATCTCATCTCCCGATGAAGCCGGGGATATGCATGCATTTGACCTCATTCACATGCAGAAGCTAAGCTATTTCTGCACTACACAGATATCTGCTTCTCGAAGCGGAATTGGTGATGATCTTGCGCATTGACACTCAGGCCCGGTACCCCAGATGGTGTGTGAATTGCATGCTGAGAACAGCCTCGACCCACTTAAATCAATTCGTGCGCGCCTCCTCCCTGATCTGCTTATTACTCAAGATGCGCGCCCAAGACTGCCTTGTTTTCTTACCATTTGACACGCGTAGTTTGCCAGGGCCCAGCTCGTCATCAGGGTCATGCGTGTTACGAGGGCGATGATCGAAAGACTGGTGGGAACGGGAGACGCTCAGATAGATTAAACTTAGAGCTTGCATAATATCCGGAGCTCTACAGGCTTGGAGCTGTATGGCTAAGCGCTGAAATTTGAAGTTATGAGGCATGTGCATGAATGCAAGAAGTTCTAAGTCCATATATCCCTCTGTGCATGCTTCGGTTCGAACATGCTGAAGCATTATTGCAGCCTCGAAGCTTCGAACACTTCCCCAGTGCCACCACGATGGTGACGCGATCAACGTGACCGCGTTCTCCTGATCATGTGCCGATGGAGATCCGATCGAAGGAGGAGGAGAAGCGCCAGTCTCAAGAAGACGTGCTCGCACCAAACGACAGTCACCAAGTCTTATCTGCGCAAAGTACGCGTCGGTTAACGGATACTTATGGATCAGATCTGGGTTTCCTCTCTTCACGCTTGGAGGGCACAAAGGTGTCGGCTTGTTTTCTGCTTGAAGCCCTTCGCCCGGTCGTACAAGAGTGGGTGCGAAGTTTCCTGTAAAGCCTGCCTGTCTGAACTTGACACAGCTATCGTGCATGCCAAGAAGTCTGTGCCGCCTCTCGCGTTTGCATTTGACATCGTACGTGTGCTGTCTGGGAATTCGGAGTCATAACCGCGACTCACTTGGCCACTTGCAAGGATGGTGTCCTCCTCCGCGGAGCCAAGGTCATCCCAGCGGCCAAGCGCGCTCTGCAAATTCTAGAAGGAGAAAATTCAACAGGAAGGTGCGCCGGTAGCATGTGCACAGTGCATCGTGTCTAGTGGCGTGTTGATTGATTTGATGGAAGCAAGATCCCCTACATTCTGGTCGGTGGCATATTTGTCACGCCCCATTAGTTGTGTGATCCTTATAACATTTCCTTAATCAGATTACCAATGGAGGCGGGGAAAGCGAGGCTGATCGATGCCGGAAACTGACTGAGGCACTGGGGTTTCACGTAAGTTGCGTCTCCTCGCAATGTGCGATCATTTCGACAATTCACAATGTCTCTAGATCCAAGAACGCCAGTTTGTACAGTCACATACCGTCCTGAAGTCTATTGTATACAAGTATGCCGACCTTCCAGTACTAGTTCTGGGTGGCATAAACGACGAAGTTCGCAAGGTTGCAGAAGGGTACGGCTGTTATCTCCAAGCGAAGCAGCTGAATATTCACTCCTTCCCTCTAGATATGGATTCAAACGTGCATATACGACGCTTGATGTACTGGCGTGGAACCCATCGTGCGTGTCTGGCGCATGCACTTATTTACGTTCGAGGCCTAACCATACCAGAGTCTGGCCATTCCACGATCTCACCCCATCCGAGCGAGAGTCAACCAAGGTATGACTGCTTCCGTTCGAAGCGAGGAGATGTGCGTCTTTTCAAACAGATGATTCTCAGGCAGTGGATTTCTCAAAAATCCCTATCGCTGCGGGTTTTGTCTTCCACGACCCGCGCAACTGGGCACTCGATATACAAGTCATGTGTGACGTCTTCCAATCTGGCGGGGTCATCGGGGCACCGTATACAACGACTCCCACGAGCGGACAGACTAGCGATGCTTACGGGCACACGGGGCGGCGCCCAGAGCTGATATTTTGCAATCCTGACATCCTGTGGAAGTCGGGTTTTGACCAGCCCCGGCTAGGCCAAGGTGCGTTCCGGACGGCGTTTCAGGCTGTGTTCAAGGCGAGTTGCATCCGCACGTTTAGTGCCTCGTGGGCTTGCCTAACCGTGTGTGCAGACGCTCACGGGTTCCGAGTACCCGTACGTTCAATTCGGCAAGCCCACAGAGGCGACGTATAGGTTTGTAAAGAAGGTGGTGCAGGACAGGTTCAAAGAGCTGTATGGCGATGTGACGAACGAGCAACCACGAATGTACGTGCGATAATGTCTCATTCTTTCTTGCTAGCTAACGTTCCTGTGCATTGCAAACACAGGTACATGATCGGAGGTGCGTGGCACTTGGCGCAGTTGATCCCGTCATGTTCCGCCTTATGCCATAGCCCTTAGACAATCCAGAATCTGGTAGGTCCCGCAGCCTCTAATCGCAAAAGTTTAATCTCACGGATGGATCCAGATATCGCCGGAGCAAATGCTGCCGGTTGGTCTTCCGTCCTAGTGTACACAGGCGTGTATGATCCTAAGCGCGGGCCGCCAACGTACAAACCGACGCATGAGGCGGAGGACGTCGAAGAGGCTGTGAAATGGGCAATCGAGCATGAGACGTCCAAGAAGAACAGCTCGTACTGATCGAGATTCGCTGCAGGTACCAAGGCCTACGAAGCTCGGTCGGGTAATGTAGTTAGATAGGATAGTGCGATGTAGTATTGCGATATTTATTAAACCGACGAATGCATATTGCTGAGCGTGCTGTGGCGCCACTCGCAGTGGCGCGATCGATCTTCAGATTCTCCATGCCCGCATTGCCAGATCAAGGTACCTGTTCTCTCGCCTGCTGCTGCTACCCATCGAATTTTCGTTGTCGTTGCTATTCGGACGATCATCGAGCGCAGTGACATTTTGCGCGCAGATGGCTGAACTGGGACGAAAGTCAAGCGAATCGATACAAACACCTCCTCATGCGGCTCACTCGACTCTGGAAGAACAGGCATGGCGTGAAGAGCTACAGCTCGGAACAGACCTGAATTTGTCTGCTCCACCCGCTGTATCCGAGCATGAGGTCGCTGGTGCAGGCGAGACTGACGGTGCTGCGCCGCCTCTGGATAGGAAGGCGCTCATATTGCTGCTCATACAACACTTTTCAAAGTGATCCGTCCTACTTTCGCTTGCATCGTTGCAAGGAGTCTCACGACCGATACATCTAGCTCGTGGGGCCTTCGTACCGCAGAGTTTGCTGTGTACTTGTTCCTCATCACGCTTTTCCCGGACACACTGCTTCCCGCCTCCCTCTTCGGCTTCCTGACCACAGGCACTGCAATCGTTTTGTCAGGATGGGCGGGACACCAAGTGGACGTGCGGCACAATCTGTGGCTGATACGCGCATGCATTGTGATCATCAAGGTTTCTGGCTGCGGTGCATATGCGGGTTCCCTCGGATTGCTGTACCACAGTGGTCAGGGATTGGCGCACTATTGGTCGACTGCATTCGCCGCTGGGATGTTCACCGTCATCGTCATTTGCAGCTGTGTCCACAACCTTGCGGGAGTTGCCATCTCCGTTGCCATTGAGAGGGACTGGGTGACGATCATAGCAGACGGGTCGTCTGTGCATCTCACTACCATCAATACGTACATGCGCCGCATCGACCTGCTGTGCAAGCTGCTCGCGCCGCTGTTTGTCTCCCTCCTCACAACCACTGCGTCGTACAGGTTTGCTGCCTCTTTCCTGTGTGGAGTCGAGGCAGTGTGTATGGTATTTGAGCTACTGTGTACGTCTTTTCTCGCCACTGCGATTATTTATGCGTACAATAACACGGCATTGAATCAGGGATTGCGGTGGTTTATCGACGCTTCCCCGCGTTGAGCGCCGCCCAAGCAGCTAAAGATGCTGCGCGATCAGAGAGCCCTCAGCGTCAGCAATCGGCTCCCAATGTATCTGCATTGCACTCTTTCGCTCGCCGGATACGTTCATACGTCCTCAGCGGTCTCTCGGACTGGAAAGAATTCGTTCAACACCCAATCTTTCTGTCTTCCCTTGCAATCTCTTGCCTATACTTCACTGTCCTCAGCTTTGACGGCACGATGATTAGCTGGCTCAAGGCCGAAACATACAGCGACCCGTTCATTGCGGGGATGCGCGGGCTCAACGTCGTAGCAGGACTCATCGGCACGTTGGCGATGCCGTTCTTGGAGCGCAAGCTGGGCCTTGTGCGTGCGGGCAACTGGAGCATATGGTATGCATTGGACTTGCGTCTCTTCGAGTGCACAGCATCTTACTATTACTTAACCCGTAAGGTCGGAGGCACTTTGTCTAGTGCCTGTTGTTATCTCTTTTTACGTCGGTGAACCGCCAATCGGAAAGCAAGCGCCTGCATGGAACGAAGCTTTGCTCTTCGGAGGTTCGTGACGGTACACTCATGTATGTGCAGACTATACTGATGGGCGTACTTGACAGGGATGATGCTATCGAGGATTGGCTTGTGGGCGTTTGATTTATGTCAACTGAAGGAACTCCAGATGGCGTTGTCTACACATCCCCGTCGAAATGCAATGTCAGTCTCGTTCAGTTTCAGGTGTAGCATTTACTCACTTGTCTTCAGCTCTGCACTTCAGTTCTCTTTGCAGAACGTAGCAGACATGCTCAAGGCGAGTTTCTTCCCGATGTAAAACAGTTCTTTAGCTGACAGGGTCTTCACAGTACGTCCTCACAATGATCCTATCACGACCGTCTCAGTTCAGGATCGCTGCATTGACCTCCTTCGTGAGTGTCGTGATGGGTTCAGTGACGTATCTGGCGTATGTCCGCAGAGAACGCGGGCATATTCTGCACAATAATCTCGGAGAGATGATTCCGCTCTTGAACTGGAAGGCGCGGTAGTGCCTGTCACGTTCATCAATGCTGTCGGTGTAGCGATCTAATGGCAATCCCAATCATGGTTTAATTCGCAATATGAGATCGTCTCTTGAGTACGGTACTTGAAATGCCTGAATCAGCGACAGTACTTCAGCGTTCATCGAGCGACATGGTGAAAGATAGCAACTAAGAACCTGTCTCATTAGACGCCCAAAGCCCTCGCTCTCCTTTCGCCATCGCCGTCTTGCCTGAGTCGACCGCTGATGCTCCCTTTGCCCGTAGTTGTACCGGCGAAGCGACGGCTCAGTGGGACTAGCGTCAGGAGGCACAGAGATGTCTTGCTCGCTCGTGCTCGCATAACGAATCTCGGTCTCTTGCTGCTCGGAGGTTTCACCGCCCTGTCATTACTGCTGAACTTGAGATACTATCTCTTCCCTGCGCCCGGTGCGACATGGCATCGTCCTCGCCACCCACGACCGCCTTTCAGTTTGCTGGCGACCGTTCCGCACAGCGATGCATTGTCCCTCCTGAATCATCTTATCATCGTTCCTTGTCACGGTGTTTGGCAAGGCCATGATCCGCTGAAGAGACTGGATGAGGATGATTGGATACTGGAGGATTATCAAAGAGGCGGTGGGTGGGTCTCTGCGCTGAATGGGCATATCGTCACTGCGTGGGTGCTGCTTGCGCTTTCGTACATATAACTGCCCATTTCATGACCATAACATTGTAGAGTGGAGTTGGCGACTGCAGATGAGAAGTCGCTGCTGGTATTCAGTGGGTATGCATGCAAAATATCTTAGAGTGCTCTAACCCCTAATATCTTACCATTTTCCTCCCCAGTGGCCAGACTCGACCTATGTCAACAAGCACCGAAGCCGAGTCCTACCTGCGACTGGCATTTGCTGCTGGGATGTTGCCGACCTCGTCAGATGTCTCATCTAACCTTCTGCGCGCGACGACGGAGCAATACGCGTTAGACTCGTTCCAGAATCTTCTCTTCTCTATCGCGCGCTTTCATGAGTACACAGGCCGCTATCCAGAGAAGATCACTGTAGTTGGCCACGAAATCAAGAGGCAACGGTTCTTCGAACTGCATCGTGCCGCTATGCGATGGTCCAGATCGAGATTCCACTATGTCGGCATAGATGCTGAGGGCGAGGAAGGACTGAAAGCCTACGAAGGCGAGGTACGTGTAGGAGGCGCTTTCTGTAGGACGCCGCATGCTGAGTTTTCCTCTCGAAGAAATTGAACGGCTATCTGCCGTATTCTGTTGACATTTATGGGTGTCACGACTTTCTGCTATCGAAACGTCGCTCACGGAACCCCTTCAAACGGTTCCACTCCTACTATACTTCTTCGCCCGAACTCGCTTCCCTTTTTGATTGGTGTCCAGACACCGCCGATGGCGGTCGGGCCGCGCTATTCCATGGACCTCTCCCTTGGGACTATCTTCGACCATCCATCATGGACGCAGGCTCATGATGCCTCCGTCGTTTCGATACACTATGAGGACTTTTAAGCTTATTGCCACCATCCTTGTCACGCTACATTGGGAACTTCATCTATATGAAGTGTACATTCACACTGATTCCACTAGGCTGATCCTGATAGACAGACAATAGAACTTCAGCTACGTAGTCACTTTGTATGGCGGTTCACAACTTGAAGCCAGTTGTTGGCCTATTGTTGCATAATATGCGCCAATACAACCTCGATCTCCGTATTCTAAGTGGTCCGCGAGTCGAATGCTTTTTTTCTATTACTATTGCCATACGGAGCGCTGATGGCCTCTCATTTAGGGATTACGAAACGATGGAGATCCGTCGTGCCTTCGCAACGTCAACAGGAAAAGGAATCTGTGATAATGATCCGGGCTACAATTGATCAACAACGCTTATTCGAATCTCCGACGGTCGCTGCATCCCTGCTCCTCCATCACCATCTCTAGTAGGATCCAGGTACTGAGCTAGATCGTCTATCCATGAAAATGGTGCACATGCCACCACCGGGACGAGCCCGGCGTGCAACCTTCTGCCCATCGGCCCTATCAGACCTCCATGATGATCAGATCCGAGCCATCAACGGAATGTCGACCAGCGGGAGCTTACTTCCGCGATTCTACCGTGTCGTCGTTGCATTGACTCGGCTAGCTTACGGTCCGAGTGAATCGAGCATGTCTCGGGCTTCAGGCACTGATGTGTGCGTCCGAGTCTCAGTTTGTTGATCGGCGGTCATGACCACCTCCTAAGTTCCGAGTCCCAGCCTGAGTAGCTCTCAGTATTCACAGTGTGTATATGATGGGGCGCAATTCCGTCCTCAGGCGACGTCACGCCTCTCTCCGAGGTGAGTATGTTGATTGAGCTCGTTTCAAGGTCAGACCTCACTGCTTGGCGGAATTCATCTTGCTTACTTGTTAAACAGTCAGTGAAGTGCAAAGCCCGTAAATCAATGCTTACCTAATCATCTGAGGTTCCTCCGTCCGAACAAATGTGTCGCAGATGCAAAAAAGTGACCATCTAGACTCTACCAGAATGCATGTGAACGCCCTGGGCGGATCCTGTTCCCGCGTCCTGAACGTTTGCAAGAGTCCCAGTGCAAATGCCTGGAGTTGAAACTCAAATCCTGTGCTCTACATTAGATAACGCTATCCCCATTTGTGCTGAGACTGATGGAACGACCAAAGGACATCCAATGCATATGCTTCTATGGGGCCCAAGGCCGCAACAATCACGGTATGCCGACCTGCTACATCAATGAGGTTTTTCTCATCAATGCTTACGAAGTCCGTCGTTGCCGTTGTATTGTATTTAAGCCAAGAGCTCAGCGCTGGACGGCACGCTTTAATTGATACCCTGCGACGTTAACTTCGGACAGATATGACCGGACCCAATATGCACCTTAACAACACGTATGGCTGTCTATTCGTCGGAATACTTTTCGCTATTATGTACGTTCACGCATTCAACTAAGCAGTCACGCTTGAATGACAGTGTTCTCTCTGTGCATAGATTGTACGGTTTAGGATGCGCACAGACGATCTACTATGCTAGATGGTATCGAAAAGATCCAATGTGGACGAAACTCCTAGTAGGTCTTGCTTCTGAATAATGAATTGACGTCGGGTTTACTATGTGTTGCATAGGTGGCATTCACATGGTACGTCTTCGAAGCTCCAATTATTCTTGCTTCGGGGCTGAAACATGCCAAGGCTCTTTGACACCTGCAGAACTATACTAGATGTTTCGGTAAGGCCATGTTCGGTCGTGATCTCGAATACAAAATGCTCAGGAAGCCCAGTAGTTGCTGTGGGAATACACCGTCACAATTCATGGCAACCCTGAAGGCCTCGAGGTATTAAGAAAGTACGCGAACTGCTACGAGTGGGATACCAAGTCGTTGCTGATAATAGGTGTCATACAGTGAACTGTTTGTGAGCGTCACTGACTATTTCTTCATTGTCCCTCGTGCTCACAGCATCTCGTAGGCAGAGTTCTTCATGAACGTGAGCCGCTGTCAAGTCTTTGGAGATACGTCACATTCATAATAATCCAGTCTTTCACAGTTGTGATTGTGCAACTGTACGTGCTGGCCTAGAATACTTCCCTTGGTTCAGCCGCTCACCGTTGATTGACTTAGATACTTCATCTACATCGTCTGGAACCGTATGTACCCTTCAGTCGCTCTTTCGAAAGCAACGCCTTATTTGGATATCCATCAAGTCTTTATCGATGGCCGCAATCGCTTCCGTATATCGGTTACTGCTGCTGCAGTAAGTACAAAGTTCTTTTATAGCTTTCGCGACTCACCCGTACATGATAGATCGCGCTAGCTCTGCTCTCATTTGGTCGGTGAAGGAGCAAACGTATGCGAATGTCGATGTGGAGCTGACATGATCATAACAAATTAGGTGCAAATTGTGGTCAGTGATGATCGCTGATACTCGCGAATCCCTCGCTGAATATATTCTGATATGTATTGCAGGACTCGTGTACCGCTTGTGCGCTCCTTCGATGTGATAAAATGTCGGACTTTGATTGAAAGGCCTATCGAGCAGTTCCTTAAGTCATTCTATCGCTGCTGCTGAAGACAATGTTACTGTAAGTACCGAGCATCAGTGACTTTCCGGAATGGGGCGTGGGCTGATGTTGTGCAGGTTACGGCCTCCATTGCGACCGTGACGGCCGTTGTGACGGACATATACATCACCATATCCTTGTGTCTGATCCTCTCCTCGAAGCGGACAGGCTACCAACGGTGGGGCCCCATTTATGCAGCTCTGCTTTCCCTGCTGAGCGTCGGACACTCGTCAGTACTGAATACTTCATATCTGCTCTGATCGGATATGCGATCCGACGAGGAATCTTCACAGCGTTCGTAATTCTGCCATCGAGATTTGCTCTGTTTCTTGCTGACGAGATCCTTACAGACTTGTTCAGGGTCTTCATTTCCTGACGGTTCGCAAATTGAATCAATGGACACTGCACGCGATATCTGAAGCTTCGTACCTAGTATATCTCAACTTTCAAGCAAAGTTCATTGTACTGGATGCTTTTTCACTTCCCGTCCAGTAAAGGTACGCAAAACCGCTCCGTGTGAAAACAGCAAGATGACGCTTTCCTTGTTATCAGTTTATGTAAACTCTATGTTGGCGGTGTAAGTTAATATGGTTGTTTCTGTTCTGCCATCTCATTTGCTGCTCTCAGGCTCAATGTTCGGAAGACCGTTTTGGAGAAGGCAGTCCCTATGATTCACGCCGATGGGATGGAATTGGAAATGGATGTCGTATCCCGCGATGCTGGGTCGAAGACTGTCAGAACAGCGTCCACAAAGTAAGCAATCGTAACTGAGGCTTATTCTGAACATTCAGATATATATAAATGAGTAGCATGTCCAAGCGCGCAAGGCGTTACTCACCTGCGCACATCAAGGTAACCAGAGACGTTGTTGGGGATGACGGGAGGACTGTCGACGTTATTCTCAATGACGCCGTGTCGAGCTATGATAGTGCTCGTGAGGTTGGTGAGAAGGTATAATCTTGTAGTTGCCTTCCTTCATAAGACCATGGATGAACTTTACCCTTGTAAAATGCACGGTACATGCGCGGGCCAGGCGATTCCGTGGGGTCTCAAAGTTATGAAATCTAGTATTTATGCTCCATTAACTTCGCTGTAGTCAAGTGCATAGTATGGCGACACATTAGAACCCATGCTCGATGTGAACCTGCGTTGATGGCGTTGATTCTTCGGACATCCTCATGTAGAACCTCTTTCTTTTCTGACCGACTTGAAAGCAGTAGTACAAAATGTAGGAAGCTTGGACTCACTGTTAACTGATCTTGCGGCCGTAGTAATTGACTAGGCGCCCATGATTGTGCACTCTGATGAGTCTCCCGTAACTCTGATGCGCCACAATATTCATCCTCAGCGGCTGGCACGGCAGACATGGTGCGATTTATCAACATAGAAAATTGTGTGTAAATGTCGACTGAATTCTTACACATGCGACAAATATTTGCAACCACGGCATTTCATGTCGAAAATGCACTTTGGCTGCTAATGTGCACTATTTGCCATTTACATGCTACATTGGCAAACCTTTGCCACAAATGTAAAACATCAGCCGACATTCCCACGCCATTTTTCGCACTGATAAATCGCATCATGTCTGCCGTGTGGTGTAGTTCTTTGTCCCTCCTGCCTGCACTTGTTCGTAAACGCAGACTGCACCTTAACAATTTAAACATCCTCTCGGCAGAAAGATGTTTCCTCTCACAGGATTACCGCTTCCACAAGAGCTTCTGCTGATCACCGATGAGCTTGCGTCTCCCGCGGATTTTATTCTCCATCGCAGTCTGGCCACCCATTTGAAGAGCGGTCAGGATGCAAGATGCATCATCCTATCTGTCTCGGAAGACGCGGCGAGGTGGAATGCTATCGCTGGAAGATCGGTCCGTCATGTTTTCGAGTCGCTTGGACGAAGCCTCATGTCTCGACAAGAATCTTAATTTGGCACCATGCCTTGCGTCTCAATCTGTTGTGCTCATTGAAGCAGAGTCTATTCTGACGCATCCTGAGAGACACGAATTTTCGTCCAAGTCTTCTTTGAAGGCACTCTACGACAGAATACGGGATGCAGTCGGTGAAACACCTAGTGGCTTGGAGCCCAAGACCTTGGTGGTTGTCGACGATCTTGCTGCTCTTGAATGGATAGGCATGCCAGTTCAAGAACTTTTCCGGTTCGTTCGAGCTTTGTACGCTATTTGCCGCAAGGTATATTCCGCCTCGAGTTCTGCGTTGTTGAGCTTTTCTCAAAGAGTTGCAGGCGAAAGCAGCATTGATCATCAGACAGCACAATGTGACTCCAGGAGAGCCTGACGAGCTGCTACGCTCCTTGCTGCAGCTATGCACGTATCATCTGGACGTCCTGCCTTTGTCGAGTGGAAGAAGTGGTTCTGTGAGCGGCCAGGTACGTACGAGCCTGTACGCCAGTACCTCCGGACCTGAGTACCACCCCAGGTGGCTCTTCATGCGGGAGCCTCTGTCGTGGACCCTCCTTTCAAACTAGTTCGCCGTAGTGCGGCGGTGCATTACCGTCTTACAGACTCGGGATGCGTATTCTTCGACAGAGGCACAGGAGGGGGAGTCTTATGAGAATAAAAATGGCGTGTATATGTTTTGACCATCTATCACTTGTGAATCCTTGCTTTTGCGTGCCTCTTCGAGATGACAGCGGCAAACGATCAATGTATGTTGTAGGAAAGAGTCTGTATAGGTCGTGCCTGAATGCAGGATGTTTGTCTACTGATCGTACCATGGCTGTGATTGCTGGCCGAGCGCTGGGAAACATACCGTGACGGCGACGGTGATCTCCTTCCTCTCTTCCACTCCACGTCTTCAACAGACGCATAACATTCGTTCCCATCGCTATACTTTACTATCGTCCGGCTGCTGTGGCTAGGGACAATATCTTCCCAAAGTGATATCCGGTCATCCGCAACAACCTGGTGCTGTGTCCAGGGCCCTTCGACTTGCTTGTTCGCTCTGTGGTGCGCTTTGTTCTGGCAGCGTCAGGGTAGTCATGGCACGCAGTGACACGTCTGCGTTTCAGCCTTTAATATCTGGCCGCCTTCAAACCCGACACGGAATACAATTTTGGCACTACTGGCATAGCACCTGAGCACTCCCCATGCCACCCAGCGATGACCGCGGCGGCCTTCCACGCCGAGTCGACAGTTTCATAGCATCCAAGATGCCTTTCTTCACCCAGCTCGACGATGAGCTGCGTGACGTCAAGCGCGTCCACTCTCAGGGCCAGGAAGAGGACCTCAGGATGGCCCTCGGCCGGATGATCAGCAGGGTGGAGGAGCTCGTACGCCATCTTCCAAATATCAGGATTGACCTGCCGTCCTCACAGACTCTGTTCAATGTCCCGCATGCACAATCGTAGACATCCATGCTGAAGGAAGCATTCAAGGCGCAGACCGATCTACAGACCGAGCTCACCCTCGCAAAGTCAAACCTGCAGCTCGCGCTCGCAAACAACGAGATGCTGGAGGATGCCTTGAAGCGTGAGGGCGGAGGCCATCTAAAGGACATTGGCTGGCGGCGCTGGAGCGCGAAGGAGCAGAAGGAGCGACTTGCAGAGGAGGAACGCAGGCGAAGTGTGGAGAGCTCTGGCTCGTGCGACACAGCTCAGAACTCTCCCGTCCTGCAGCCTCCTTCAAGGCCTGCCTCTCCACTACCAAGTGCAGCGCGTGCCATCTCTCCTGCGCCCTCGTCAGAAGGGAGGTTCTTCCGGTTCCGCTTCGGCAGCGGCGGTAGCGCGACCTCCAGCCAGTTCCCCTCTTCCCCTCGTGTCCCCATCGCGAGTGGCAACCAGTCGCCGCTGGTGAACGGTCATGCACAGTCTGCATCATCGCATCTTACGTCTGCGTCGTTGCCTTCCTTGGTCCCAGCACGAGATTGGGAGAAGGAGGTCGAGCAGCTGAACGCCGATTTGAAGCATGAACGCGAGTCTCGCAAGGCAGTCGTCGCTCAGAAAGAAGCTCTAGAGGCTGAGCTCGAGTCTCTATCACAAGCACTGTTTGAGGAGGTGTGTTATAACTCAGACCGTGCATCTACCTGTGTAGCTTCGTCTCACGTTATACCTACAGGCCAACAACATGGTCTCGGTAGAGAGGCGAAAGCTCGCCGAAACAGAAGACGAGCTGAAAGAACTGCACGCCGAGCGCGAGGCACTGCGGAACGCACTGCGCCTGCTAGAACGCCAAACGCGTGTCCCAGAAACCGTACACAGCATGGACGAAGCCGTCCTCGGACACGCGCACGCCGGATCTATCTCCTCCTCACGAGCGGTCAAGTCTCTGCCGTCCTCGCGAGCGGCCACACCGGACTCGGCGAGACGCGTCGACGAGGACCCCACGTCTGCTGGCACGGTCGTCCCGCACCGTCCACCACCTCTGCCTATTTTGGACCCAGATTCGCCGCTTGTCTCGCCGTCGCCGTCGCCTGTCGACACCATTCAACATACCGATGAGCCTGACGAACACAAAGAAGCTCAGCCAGCGGAAGAATCTTCAGCATCGTCAGTCGAACCATCACCGTCCCCGTCCCCGTCTGTTGAGTCGCCAGAGGTTGGCGATTACGTCTACCCTCTGATGCGTACGGCAGATTACTTGCCTGGTGAGCCATCACCGTGGGCAGACGCGAAATCCGTTGCCGTAGCCTCAACAAACCCTGCATGATAGCATCGCATCACCATACAGACCATCTACTGCAAGACACATCACTGTTCTGTTCAGGGGATCATGAGGTTTCGGTCGATGTACAATAATGCTGTTCCTCTCCATGTCTCCTCGCATACGGTCGAGTCTCTCCGCATCATGTAGCTGTATAAAGGCGCACGCTGGCAAGACAGGCTGGTTAAGGGGCGCACACAGGTCTTCGGAAAATGCATGCATTATATACAAATACCATAGGAGCAACAAACTCCAACGCTGCATGCGAAGCTCGAGAAACTGCGGCGCAAGCTGCAAGGGACAGGTCACACAAGCAGTATAATGCGAGAGAACGTCGCGCAAGCCAAAAGATAGGCGAAAAAAATACATGGGTCATACCTACAGCTAAAAAGAGATCATCATAGTAGGCGTCGTTCAGTGTGCACGTCCACGTAGGGGGGCAGACCGCCTGATCAGAAAGCATGCACACAACTTGAAATACAACAGGTTATCATGAAGCTGTGCACAACAATGTGCTCACTGGGACGCTTCTGCAGCCGCTCTCGCTCTTTATCCTCTTCCGTATTTCAATGTTCCGGTATTTGATCCAGCACTCATGCCGCAACTTCGGACATGGTGACGTCTGGCATCGCAGACTCGTCTGCAGCCGCATCCGCTGGGGCATCCTCGTTCGTCTCAGGTTCACCGTCCGCCTCTGCCTCACCACCCTCCGCAGCTGCAGGAACTTCTGCAGCGACCGTCGTCTCCGCCTTCGGCTCAACATCAACTTCCATAGCGTCCTTGCTGCCTTCAGCTTGAGCTTGAGCAGCCTCCTCGCCGCCCTCCTGCTTGCCATTCGTCGTCGCACCGGCATCTGCCGCTTCGGCGGCTTTCGCAGCTGGGCTCGTGCCGTTCGTTGTAGCCTTGGCGCCCTCCGCGGTAGTGCCATTGGGCTTGTTGGCGTTGACGAAGTCATGCCACTTGTCGACGAGAGTCTTTGCACGCTCCCTGAACTTGAACTCGTCGTCGCGCGGAACCTTCTCAGACGGGAGGGCGTGGATATGGCGCATGACCTTGCCGATTTTCGAGAACTGCGGGGATACGCGAGCAGGCGATTGTCAGTCACGTTGCTATATTAAGGAGAAAAGTTGTTGCGTGATATGAGAGGATCCCGTGGAATCCCGAGGCGTGGACACCGAGTGCCAGCAAGGCAAGCAGAGGCGATGAAGAGCAACTGGTGTACACTCACAGTGAGATATGCAATGGTCATGTTCTCGTATTGCTCTACTGTGGTGAACAGGTTATTCAGTGCGGGCATGTCCTACGGCAAAAATTGAGCATCGCCTGGATGCAACGAGCATCAACATGACTTGCCTCATCCTTAGGCAGACTCTTGCTGTTCAAGAATGCCTTCTGGAGCTTATGTCTCCAGTCTCTGACCTTCTGCGCCTCCGGATCGTTCGCAAGAGCGGCTGCAACGATCAAAAAATTGTTTAACGCCAATGCAAATATTGTGCGATTCATAAGGAGGCCGTTGCGATATCGATAATGGTCAGACTCACCATCGCCCTCCTCCTCACCCTCCTTTTCGCGCTTCACTTTCTTAGCAGGAGGCGGTGAGGTCTGCTTGCTCGGACCCGCATCCTCATCTTCGGCCTCGGCACCTGCTTCGTCCTCAGATTCGACCATCGTCTTCGACTTGACACCGTTTTTCTTCGCCTTTGCGCTGCCAGCCCGCTTCTTAGGCGCAAGCTCGTCGGAGGCCTTCTTCGTTTTGGCCTTAACCTTTGATTTCGCGGTCGCCAGTTCAGTGTCGCGCTTCCTCTTTCTCGCCTTCGACTTCTTCTCTTCGCCATCATCGGCTTCCTCCTCTCCATCGCTTTCCAGCTGATCTATCTCCGCATTAGCTTCCTCTTCGGCGGCCTCTGCACGCCGGGCCTCGCGCTCCTCCTCCCATTTCACGGGATCTAGAGCGATGTGATAACCTTGCAGCAAGTCGCCATTCCGCTTGTAGGGCTCGTTGATGTAGGCCTCGATTTCGTGCTGTTGGAGCTTCGATATGTCCTTAGGGACAATCCAGGCGCTGATGACGAGTGGCGTTCAACCAAAAGATGTGCGCGGTCGAAAGTGCGACACGAGACGTACTAGTCACCAGCAGGAAAGAAGCGAACGCAGTACCAGTTCCCCTTTTTTGTCTTCGCGTTGGGTCGCTCGTTCTGCACGTTTTCGGGAACGCTTTCAGGATTGACAATCTACGCGTAAAAACGCGCAGAATAAGCATCAATCGAACATGATATCGTGAGCGTTATTCGCGAGACACACGACGGAGGAACACTCACCATGCCTGGCCACGGGGGATAGCCCCGGACTTTCGCGAGAACGATATCGCGGACCTCATAGGATTGTTCCTTGGACTGACTCTGAGCCTTGCTACCCTTCTTGCTCATTTTGGGGAGAAGGAAACGCGTGGAACGGCGGAGGGATGATACGAGGGAGAGACGCAGAGCAAGGCGCGCGCGAGAGACTTGCGGTCAACAGTGAAGGTTGTAACCCCCCGCCTCGGCAATTGCCGGCAAACCCCGTGCGGCATTGGTCCCGGGGCGCCCGCGATTTCAAGTCCCTCCCATAGAGTTTCAACTCAGATGAATTTACAATCGTGCTATGTCCCTACAGGCAACAAACACATCGTAAGGCCGCTCAGCACGCCAAAGGGTATGCACATTACAGCCAATGCCAACCACCCACAGCTGCGATGCTTCGCCGTTTCCAGCATCGCAGACGCGTGTCGTAATGACGGAAAATTTGGTCGGATGCGTTCGGGTCAGCAGATGTCGTCCAGGGCTTCTTCTAGACCGAATGAGTCTGACAGTGAGCAGCACATCTTGCTCACCACCAACGGGTCCTCTGGTCAGCGAGACGTACTCGTTGAAACCACGTAGTGCACGCACCTCAGACGGTGATGGCAATGGCCACGGAAACGTACTCGCACGGGACGATAAGACGTAACGATAAGACGTTCCCCGAGTAGCCGCATGTGTCCTTCGGGGGCGCTTACTGCAATGTACGCGGGAAGCCGCAATTGTCCATTGGTGACGTGGAGTAACGCGTCGTAACCGCAGGTTGCCCGATTACAGAGCTATGCCGAGGGCGAGACGACCAGGACACAACAATATCAGCACCTTCTGGACGTCAAGAATATGATGTTTGGTCATGAACGGCACCAGCAAGCTTACGGACTTCAAAACGAGACCCACAGGAAATCATTCGGGGTCCACGAGTACATTTATTGTGTCTTGCCGAGATTAGAAGCTGCGGACAGTGTTCGAAGTCTGATGCAGGCTCCCACGGGAACGAGAAGCCGACAGAATCTCGGTACGAGGACGGGTTGGAGAGACAACAACTCGTGTAAAGGTTGTCAACTAGACTGTTCATCTCTGTTCAGCCTGAGACGAACGTAGTGGCATAGAAAATGGGCAGTGACCGTTGCTGGTATAACCTACAAATGCGCAACGTTAGTTGTCGGTCATGAGAGGTCTGTAACCCAATTACTCGAGAGACATACCTTGAAGATACAAGAGTAAATGATGACGAATAGTAGGTTAAAACCGGCGAGACGAAGCCTCGCGAAACATTCTTTAAGCCGAACTCCGAGCTACCGAGCATGGCCACAGATTCTCAGACATGACCACGAAGCTGCGACGTTGATCTGCGAGACCCCATCTTCAGGATGGCGAACTGTCATAATGACTCCGTTGCTTTACATACCAAGCATTTTGAGTCGTGCCGTGGACTGATTGCATACTTTTGCGCGAGGTCGTCAGGCTGCATCGGCTCTCCGCATTCATGGTCACTGGAGTATCTTCTGTGGACACGAAATCGCGTACTGTCGTGCTTCTTGATGTGACCGAAGCTGCAAAAGAGGGCTCAGATGTACACACAAGGATCCAGGAGGCGTATTTTCGGCGCTTCAACGAGAGATTTATGCTCAATTTGCCCAAGGCTCTGCTGTGATCCTGGACGTATGACTGGGCAGGGAGGTCTGTAACGTGGCGTACATGGTCGTAGTGGACAACACCTGGCTATTGCTGGCAACGTCCAGCAGGCCTTATTTAGTACTCCGGGCCATGCTGGTCCATCGTTAGCGCTGGGCGCTCCGGCACTGCCACAGATTAGTATGCACTTTGTCTCTCCACCACCAAGCTGCAGAAATCGAAAATGTGTTTCTCCTCGCGTACAGATGTCGAATCGCTTGCATTGTCTCAAAGAACTCGCTGGCACCTCCAGGTGCTGCCTCGAGCCAATATCATGTTGGACATAAATGCGCAAACGGAATTCCTGCATGTCACACCATCGCTGGCCTGGTTGTGTAACGATTGCGCACGCTCATTCAATCGTGAGCGATATTGGCATTCTCATGCAATGTTTGCGTGGTTCCCCCGGAGGTGAGCCAAGAGTTGTATCAGCGTCTGCCAATGTCAAGTCAATGACATCTAAATGCGCAACTTTGGCTCTCTGTGCGAACTAAAATCTGGACAGACGTTATCCATTCAGTGGTTGGTTTTTTTTCCTCTGCAGAGGCTTGAGGTGAATGCGCCTATTTGTATAGTAGTTTTACAGAGCTCACGAATCTGTACCCAGGAACGGACTGACTCCATGCTCCCGACTTACTGGTGCCTGAGCTTCTTGACAGTCTGCTATTGCCTTCGTCTTCATTCGCTCAGCTCTGTCTTTCTATCTGACATGCTGAACAATCCCATCTAAGGGATGATCCCAGCCATCCAGTCTCAAAACGACGAACGTGCTCTACAATCGAGTGCTGTACTCTGCAGTATCTGATGGGGATGCATGAGGTCTCACAGCGAGTCTCTTCCCACGGCAAACAGTCCTGCTCTCACACGCATAAATGTTACATGTCAATGTGGCGTCCCCGCACGCGCTCGCGCTATCCTACTGCCAGTACTCGGGACCCTTGTTGCAGCATACTTCTCACGTCTCAAATTTACCCGAAACTCTGCGAGAACCGAGAACTCGTCTCGGTATGTTCTCGCTCTCGAGATCAGCTCTGACACTGCGATTCTGTCATAGCATGGCATATTACCGGACTCGACCCGGTGGTGCTTGAGATCTGCTTGTGAGAGACTGTCTGTCCAATACCCTTGCACCTGTCATGAGGCTACGAGCTATGTCTCCAATGTTTCCACGGACGTCCGCACAATGCCTGGGAGTCTCTCGGCAAACGTGCTGGTTTATAACGGAACGGAGGTCCTGAAGCCATCTTGTCAATCGCCAGATACCTGCCCGGGCATATTGCCTGTGCTGCCAACCACCTGTCGCTATCTGTCACATCCACCACCTCAGTAACCGACCATGCCTCCCCCGCCGAAACCAAAGCCGCCCCAAAAGCTGGTAGTCGCGATGAACAGCCTGCGAAACACGACCTTCTCCGTGACCGACGACAAGTTCTACTACGAGGTTGTCACGCGCTACTGGCACGCGAACCTGACGCGGATCATCAAACACGACTTTGAGACCCGCGAGCTGACGCCGGTAGCCGAGATCGAGGGGCTCCAGACCAAGGAGCCCCGTGTCAGATTCGTCGGCGACGAGAAGGACGAGTGGATGTCCGCAGCGGACTTTGTCAAGTTTGAGCAGGACAAGCCGTGAGTTGACGATGCGATTTTCTGACGTTTCGTGCATTTTGACGTTCTCCGTTGCATTCAACGCAGAGGCGGCACCTTCTCTACCGGAGCCGGAATAGTGTATAGGTGGAAAGTTAACAAGGGTCGCCTCCAGGTACGCTACATCTTCTGATTGGGCTAAAATGGCCCCTCATGGATGGGTGTTCTGCAGTTGGTGCGCGCAGACGATCCGGAAGAAAAACCCATGGCCGAATTCCATCCGCACAAGAGGCATTTCTGGGTCTTCAGAATGTCGCAGCATGCGTTCTTCGAGATCCAACCACAGCCTGAAGTAACGGAGGCTCTAGATAGACTGATTGGTGAGCAGTTTCATGATTCTATCTAGAACCACCGGCTGACGTTCTGCTTGGTGATCAGTGAGCTACCTGCTTGTTGAGAGGAGGCGTAGGCAGGCAGGGATCAGAGTAGTGCGATACGTTAAGTGAAGCTTTTCCTCTCGCGCGGTATGCCGTGTTGTACAGAGCATCATAATGCAGTCCGTCCTTTTCTCATTACTTCCGCGCACTACAAGATGTTTCGGCACAATGGTGTATTTCAGTGCTGCCGCGTCCAACTACGAACGGTGACCAGCCATCAGATTTCGCACAGCTCACAATTTTCTCCGCTCTGAGCCAACATCGTCGAACCTGCCTGCAGTTGTAGTCATCACATTCTCTCGGAACGGCTTATCGCCTTCCGGCCGGAGCAACGTGACCCTGAAGCGATCGCGTCATATGGCCATCCGAAAGGCAATCTTGAGTCTTGGGTACTAGAATCCCTATAGAATCCCCATGACTCCGTGAGTCGAGTCCAGCTTTATAACACCCACACTTCGATCGCGCCACCGCTGGCAGGATTCATCATTCATACCTACATACCACCATGGCCTCCTCCACCTTCTCCAGCGTCCCAATCCTAGACTACAGCCTCCTCGCCTCGCCCTCCACCCGAGCAGACTTCATCGCCCAGCTCCGCCACGCCCTCATCAACGTCGGCTTCCTCTACCTCTCCCACCCGCCCGTCGCGCGCACAGACATCGACGCCGTCATCGACTACGCACCGCGCCTCTTCGCGCTGCCGCAGACGGCCAAGAACGCGATCCGCATGGCCAACTCGGAGCACTTCTTCGGGTACTCCAGGCTCGGCGCGGAGATTACGAAGGGCAAGACTGACCAGCGCGAGCAGTTTGACTTTGCGACGCCGTATGAGAATAGGTGGAGCCCTGGTGAGCCGGAGTACCTGCGGTTGTGGGGGCCTGTACAGGTAGGTCAGCGACACTGCTGTCGAGCACTAAAATAAGAAGTGACGAGGCGCGCACCTGACACCTGACGCAGTGGCCGGACGAGGACCTCCTGCCCGGTTTCAAAGACACGATGCTGCGCTACCTCGCGCAGGTCGAGCGGCTCAGCTACGAGTTCAGCGGCCTCATCGCAGAGGCATTCGGCCTCCCCGCCGAAATGATGCAATCGTTCTACAAGGGCGACGCGCCGATCCAGCACCGCGCCAAGGTCGTCAAGTACCCGCCACTCGACGACGGGCTCGCGTCCAACCAGGGCGTCGGCCCGCACTACGACGGTGGCTTCTTGACATTCGTACGTGCCTCGAGGGGATAAACAGAGGCGCTCGTTGGCTGATGCGAGTGTGCAGCTGCTCCAGGCGTCGCCGCACCCTGGGCTGCAGGTGCAGAACCTCGCGGGCGAGTGGATCGACGCGCCGCCCATCCCTGGGACGTTCGTCATCAACATCGGTAAGGGTGAGTCGATGGGGCGTCTCTGCTTACCGCACACTCGCTCATCTCGCAATCTCAGCGCTCGAGACGGCCACCCAAGGCCTCGCGCGTGCGACCTCTCACCGCGTGCTCTCCCCGCCGAAAGGCTCCACCCCGCGCTACTCGATCCCGTTCTTCCAGAACATCGCGCAGAGACTCTCCCTCAAGGATATCCAGCTCCAATGTACGAGCCGCTGTCATAAAACACGCACGAATTGCTGATTTCAGGCAATTCCAGTCAGCCCGGAGATCCTGAAACTGAAGGAAGATCGTGGCGAGGTCGGGACGACTGACTGTGCGTGCTCAGTTCCGCCCATGGAGACAAACCACTTATGCTTACTTCCCTAGCCGTGAACTACTCGGAATACGACCGCCTGCCGGTCGGCCTGGTGAACCTCATCGGACGGGTCAAGTGAGTCAGCTTCATTGCTCACGGAGCTTGGAACTGCTTACAGGACACGCGTACAGGAGCCACCCGGACGTCGCAGAACGCCACTATCCTGACCTCTTCAAGCAGTTCTTCCCGCAGGGCATGCCGCTCCAGGGCAGCGCATACTAGAGAGAGTCAGTTCCTTTCCGCACAGGCAAAAAAACACCGAATGGGCATGACACAGAAGTGTAGGAAAAATGTTCTTATGTGCATTGGATGGGAATGTGTGTCATCCTCGATGTTCCGAATGACCTTTGTCATTCGGGTTATAACTGAGTAACGTACAGCCTGGACTTACATAAGCACTCCACCCCGTTGCCCGTTCCCACACCTGTGGCTGGCCATGTGCCCCGGTTTTTGGTGCCTGTTCACAAAGATAAAATACCAGTTCACATTTGTCACACATATTACATTGTGACAAATGCCTCCATGTCTCCTGTGCGAGAGGTATGGTGGGGGACACCACTTCATGACATGCCACAATTTTACTCCTAGCACCTCGAGATCGAACTTCTATATACAAAGTACCCCATAGATAGGCCCAAATCTCAAAGCACAAGTGTTTCTGTGAACCTAACCCTAACCCTAAAAAACCACCAAATTGGCCCAAGGTCAATGCATGTCAAGGGTATGCTGCTACTGAACACGCTTACATTTCGAGCAGAGTGAGCTCCATCTTTAACTTTCATTCTAATTTTTCAACTCCAGGTCCTCCACTGCAATGCATGGTGAGACTTATACTTGCAAACCTTTTTTGTCACTAAATCTGACCGGCGCTTACTACAGCTACATTTGGCAATACCAGCGCTTATAAAGCTTGATTATCCATATATGGTAGTGTATTAATAAGCAAATTGAGGCCCAAAAACTCAAACCTTGGATTTTGAGAAATCTGCTCCTACCATGTTGTAGAGCATCTCCTTAGCTATGATTCTATATATGTTTCATGAATTTTAATGCAAATTTCACGAAGCCTTAGCAAATCCACGAGATGGCTCAAACACTTGTCATGAAGTGGCGTCCCCCACCATAGGCTTGACCTGCGGTTCACGCCTCAAATAAGGCAGGTGCATGCTGCATGGGTGTAAGCACCCAATGACTTTGCATGCCTAACTGTCGATGTTTTTGGTGGGCGCCTCACGCGTTTCACGACAAAGTCGGGTGCCAATCACACTTCCGAGGCCTCAGTTCATGTCACGGTTTTACCTGACAAAAGTCATTATAGGAACAAATGCTATTAAGGAGCATATCATTTTTCATCATTTCTCCTCGCACAAGAAGTCACGTGACCTAATGAGATAACGAGGCATCCAGTCACATGACCTCAGATCTCTCTCGGCATTGACACGTGACACTGAACTCCTTGGCATGGCATCATATGTCGCAATCACCATGATGCCATATTGCGTGCTCAAGAGGAGCTCCGTCTCCGTGAGTTATTATTAGGCAGCCAATCAGGATAATTGGGACATGTCGTATGATTGTAGCACTGACCAGTAAGATAGCGTGTGACTCGCTTAGGTAGTACTGTACAGTAGCATAGCAATCATGTATATAAGGACCAGCGAGACGAGGAGGAGACCTCAGTCTTATTCTCCTTCGTCCTCCACTACCATCACAGAGGGGTCTTACCAGACACTCTCAGTGTGCTATACATCTGTTTACATCCTCACTATTATGATAGCGCCCCCTGCCTCGCCAGTAAGTCATACTCTGCGACTAGCACTAGGGCCTCGTCAGTGGGCATGTCGTACGGCCGCAGCTTGTCGCTGTTAGCTCTTAGCCAGGAGACTCTCAAGGGGACTCTATATTTGGTTGTCTATCTTTGTCATCGGCGTGCCGTGACATTAGAATAAGACTGACCTTTTACGCTCCTACCAAGTGTCTAACACTGGTAGCTGCGCATTTTCACCCAGAGATACATCCACCCAGGGCAGGGCTTTTTCCACACCACTTCCTTCATACCACTCCACGTCGCCTCTATCGCCTAAGCCGCTTCCTTCCTTCAAAAGGAACAGCGCTGCATCGACCGGTAAAGCGCCTCAAGTACACAACGGGATCGTTCCACCCAATGGACGCTACCATCCCTATCAAAGGAAATCCAGAGTCCACCGTCTGACTCAGGGCAATCTTGTACAGGCGCAACCTATCCAAGCAGGCTCACAGGGCATCACAGCCGAGCGCCGCCAGCAGGAGCACAAGGTTAGCCTTTGGCTTGAAGGCATCCCCAGAGACATACCTAACCCGTCCATGCCACTCCGTCCTCCTCACGCTTATGCTACATTCCCCGCCATCGACGTCCTTAACTTCGCGCTCTCAAAGAGCTACCATCCTCGCGGGATCCACGAGAATCCCAAAGGTACCCTTCCCGAGAACATCGCACCAACCGTATATGCCACTATCCAGCGATACAAAGTCCTGCAGCAGCCTCACATCGCTGCCAAGTTCACCGAAGAGCAGCTGAAGTGCCAAGATAGAATTCTCAGACACTTATTAGTGATTAACGAGTGAATTGGAACTGGGCACGACTTCACGTTCGTCGACAGGCATATCGTCATCAAGCTTTGCGTGGGATTAGGAAAGATCTTTTTCAAAGAGATCAACAAGGAACAGGAGCGAGTAGGAAAGGAGCTTGTAAAGTTTGAGAAGGAGTCGTGCTACTGGCCTTACTAGGACCAGTAATATTTTTGTATCACCGTATCAGCAGTTTCATGCCCTGGTATCAAGTTAGTTTCGTATTCAGAAACTACGTGGTCGAACACTACATCACCGACCTCTATCATCATCTGGTGTGCACAGGGTACTTCATCTATCAACCCCTACTATCAGAATGATCCATCCCGCTTTATCATTATTCGGTTGATATCGAACGTCGAGTCACCTTGCACATACCTTTTCAACTCATCGAAACAGACATCGAGATCATCGATCCAGCTCACGAGTGGATAGAAAACCGTTACTGGGAACATCTTGCTCGGTTATATCAGGAAGACGAAGAACTCTTCTGAGTAAACTGGTACAGAGACTTTCCAGAACAAAGACACCCTCGTCCAGCAAGGCTCGAAGAAGCCGCGGCATGAAGGAATCGAGTTATCGAATTAGCACAATTACCGGGAGCCAATAATTCATCCCAGTAAAATCATCATTTCGAACGCTTCCTCATTTTCGCTATCTTCAACCATGATACCAATGTCTCAATACAATCTTGGAGGCATTACCTTCCCAGGAGGACATACTGCCAGTGAACCTTCTGACCCATAGAGGAGTAACGCCCCCTCCACATCATCTGAAGCAGGACCAGCTGCCCTTGCGGAAGAACCCCATAACAGCAGCACACCCAAGGCGTCAGGAGTAGTCAGAAACCTGTCGCCCACCACCCTGCCAGCATTCTCCACACCTCAGACTTGGGAATGGCAGGGAGTTCCTTACACAACCATCGAAGAAGCTGCCAATGCCGCTGCACCCAACACCATCCCAAACGACGTTAAGGAATGGGTAATGAACGTGGTACGATCATTCGTCATGAGAGACGTTGTAAGCTCATATGAAGCCTTACGTCAAAAGATGGATGAGCGCCATGAGCACACGGTGGCCTCATTGGAAGACGAAGTGATGGCTCGTATCTACGTCGAAATAATGGCAGTAGAAATACGAGATCAGCTAAAAGTCGCAAGAGCCCAGATCGGCACCCTCTCCGCCGACAACGAACGGCTCATCAAGTCAAATAATAGTCTGATGCTCAAAGCTCAAGCAATCCGCAAGGACTTCGAAGATTACAAAGATGAAGTAAAGGGTCAGATGGACGCCCTTTACAGCAACATGGTCACCCTGAAGGAGGCACAGGAGAAGACCACCACCTACATCGTCGGCTTAGAGTCCTGACTCAACAATGCCATCATCAATGCGCCCTCCACAGGTATCCAACAACCGGCCGGCCAATCCAGTCAATCGCCTCGCCGAATTAAGCTCCCCGATCCTCCCAAGTATTCGGGAAGGAAGTCGTCGGAAAACTTTGAAACTTGGTTCACGAACCTGCTCATCTGGCTCGATTATAACCATTTCACGGACGACAAGAACAAAATTTGGCAAGCCAACATGCATCTGGAAGGCCGAGCTGCTCTATACATGAAAGAGTATGCAATCAAGCTCACCTCCGGACAAGACATTGGTACATGGGCAGAATACACCAGGAAACTGGAAATGGCATACAAGACGCTTGACCCCAAGTGCACGGCACAATCTTTGCTAGATGCACACTGCGCAATCCACCACAAGACGATGATTGCCTTCGCGGAGAATTTCAGGGCCTACGCCCCCGAATCAGGATACTCCGATGAAGATCTAATCGTCAAAATCAGGGAACAACGGTCAAGCCACATTCAGACGGTCATGTCGGTAACAGAGACTTTGGACCCCTCGAAGATTTCAACCACCTGGATGGACTATCTCGAGTTCTGCTTGGAGATTGAAATCAAACATCTCCAACAAATTTCAGGCAACAAGTCTACTGGACAGACCGCGACGACCAAGGCAACCATTCCTAAGGACCCTAACGCAATGGACACAAGCGCACGAATCGCACATGAACTATCCCCAGAACAGGACAGATGGCTGGCAAACAAACTATGCTTGTTTTGCAGAAAGCACGCCTATGAACGAGGAAAGCGGTGCCCCTCCCCCAAGCCAGAATACAAGAGCAAGCAGTTTTAAACCTGATCTACCCCAAAGCAAGGCAAAGGAAAGGGCAAGGCAACGAACGTGCGATAGGTGGAAGAAGAAAGTAGCGTGGACTCATCAGCTCAAATTGCGGCATTGGAACAAGCAATTGCTGCACTTCATGGGATGAGCACAACGTCGACTACACCACCGTCCAGCAAGGGAAAGCCAAAGGCAAAGGTGCACAGTGTGGACGTGGAGTCAACTATATCGGCATCAACGGTTAAGGACACCAATGCAAGAATCATCGAAATAGATGATTTTTCAGAGGATTTTCAGTACGAAGTGTAGACGAGTCTGGTGTCACACTTCAGGACAATTGTATTAGTACCGTGAAAATGAATGTACCTAGCGACTATCTATATATTGCATCTGCAGGTTTTTCTAAACATTCGATCGAATTGCCGATAAGATTCGTATCACGGGAAATCCAGATGACGGCACTATTGGATTCTGGAGCATTCTCTTGCTATATCGACCAAAGATTCGCTGAGAAGCATGGGTTTAAGATGATACCTCTAAAGCATGAAATCCAAATCCTCAACACAGACGCCAGCCCCAACAAGGGTGATGCAATTACTCATCGTGTAGTCACAAGCATCTTAATCGGGGGGCACCGATCAACTGAGAGTTTGCTCGTCACAAACCTTGGACGCATGTCAATGATCCTTGACATGAAATTTCTACAAGAACACAACCCCCGAGTTGACTGGGAACATAGAGAGGTCACGTTCTCAAGATGCAGACACACGAGGAAGCAATGAGTCAAAATATGCGAAGAAGAAGTCAACCTTCTATCGCAACCTCGGCTCGAAGATTGTCACAGATTTTCACGTTTTCACCTCTGCACATGACCAAGACATCATTGGACATCAGCGCTAGGCTGTTCAGAAAGGAACGAACCGGTACGCGAAGTACTAACAGTCCTAGATGCCCCGAAGGTCCAGGGCTAGTCACGTGACATATCACGTGATATCCACACATGTGACAAGTAGCGCTGATATTAGGTAAGCCTAACTTATACAGTAATATCATCCCACCTAGAAGCAACGGTCGGACTCCGGAAGAATCCAACGAAGGGGATACACGCCACCGGAGATATGTCCTTAAGGGGATATTAGTTCACATGCACGAGGTAGATAGATACCACGCCACCGGAGATGTAGCCATTACAGGCAATACCATTTCCATGGTCTTACTAAGTAGTTCGGAGGTTCGGCATACATGACACACGTAGTCTGACAGGTAGTGGTAACCAATCAGACAATGTCCATTAGCTAGTGGTTCTGGGGTATCAGGGTACCAAGGGTCCCTCCGCTCATGTATATAAGCCAGAGCTCTGAGACGTCTAAGTCCCCCAGACTTATTCTCATCTCTGCTACGCCTTTTCATACAGTGTTACCAGTGCTCACTTGCAAGGCACTGCTTTACCTTGATCATCTTTGTGTCCATCCTTACGTCAACAACAGTCAGTAAGTGTTTGATCAGAAGGTCATAGGCTTAGTCGGCGCTTTGCGTCCTAAGTTTGTGATAGAAGAATAAGTCTGCTTATCTTACCTGCCTCGAGTGCCTGCCCAGCGTACTCGCCGCAGTGTTGCATCTTCGCACGTCCACCCGCACGTTAGCGGTGTCATATCTTCACCTGATGTTCCATCAGTCGCTGACTCTACCAGCGTAAGCTGCACCAAGGCATTGCACAGCATCGACGGTGTCATCCGTCATCCTCGAGCGAGAACTCCAGAAGAGTTCTACGAGCAGCGGCCCGTAAGACCCCTGCCAAGGCCAGGACACATCTCTACGGGAGGTCGGCCCCCTCGCGGCACTAGTTCAGTTTCTATTATCCAGACTCCCTCGGTCAGGCGACCGAGACTACCTGCAGGACCATCTGGTCCAGATCTCAATCAAGGGACATACGTCGAGACCGTTACAGGGTCTCATTTCATCTATCCTCTCGCCGTTTCCATCATCTCAACTCAGCGCGTCGAAGGTACCCTTCGACAGATTCGTATTCTACTCACAAAACGATACCGTCGTCAGCTTGACGACCACGACATCTTCGACCTCGAGCATCTCATACTCAAGCTCGAATCTCTCCGCAACAACATAGCGGAATTCAAGCTTTCCTTCGTTCACCAACACATGGTTCGCAACTTCTGCAACTACGTCCAGGAAAGGAAGCATCAGGGCGGAGAAGCTCGCTGGATAATCAGAGATATTATCCAGAAGTATCGTCTAGGAATACAGGTCACAGGGCGACCTTTGCTGTAGATACGAATATCCATTTTGTATATGTCTTCATCTGGCAATTCGAACAATCTTGATAACTTCGAGCAGTTAAATCCAATCGGTCACACCTTTGATTATCTTTGGGATTCAATTCCACGTGCTCTTCGAGACAGAGCAGGCGAAGCATTTGCTACATACGAGGACACGTTCGACATCGATTACCACGACGTATATCACATATACGCCCTCCAAATCTACCCAGAATTTGATTGGAGGAACGTCGCAGTTCATATCTGCTATATCCCTATTGGATCCGAAGAACCCGAAGACCGCCTCACCGAAGCTTACAATAGCTTCGTCGATTGGCTCGAAGAAGTCGAGCGTATCTGCGAAATTCATCATAACCATCAGTGGCCCGCAGTCAGGGACAAGACCAGGTTTTTGTGGCAACCCTTCGTCAAGGTCATCCATTAAGACCTTTGTTTGCTGCGAAACCAACGCTCAGGACGAGTAATTGCCCGACAGGCTACGATCGCCAATAGGCATATCGTCGAGTTCGAAGAACATCTTCGTGAAATAGAGGAAGAATTGTAAAATGACGACCCCCACTCCAAATGATCCAAGCTTCTCTCGTGCTCCATCTCCGGAGCTTCCTGCATGACTCAATATTGTTTTGCAACCCCCGAATCCCATCATTCGTCAAGCCCTTGCCGACATGGCGCCCCCAAATGCGAACATACCCGAAAATGTGAAGAATTGGGTAGTCGATCTCGTCACGAACGTGGTGGAAGAAATGCGTCAACAAACGGTGGCGCATTACGAAAATCTCATCCAGCGTCAAGCGCATACAATGGAACGTAACACCACGGAGTTCCACAATCGAACGGTCTTCTTAGACCAACATCGCCAACAATCTGAGTCTAGAATTGCAGACTTAGAAAAAACCTCGGCAGCTTTAGCTGAGGATAACAAGGCCATTAACGAATCGTTGGTGGCATTTGACGATGAGGTCAAGGATCTCCAAACCAGGATGGAAGACCTGAAAAAATCACATGATCGACTTCGCGCATGGGCATCTACGCAGGGACGGAAAGCAGGGCAAGGCGGTAACAATGTCGACGACACGGACGACGACGATGAGCCGTCGTTTGGTCGCAAGGGTAAAGGCGTAAAAATTGACCAACCAGAAAAATATGGTGGCAATAAGGACGGAGTCAATCTCGATGATTGGCTCGAACAAGTAATGCTCTGGTTGAAATATACCGGACATACCAAAGACGAGTCCAAAATTATGTCTACCCTCTTGCTCCTGAAAGGAGGAGCACGTGAATACATGTGGCATTGGATCACTGAAATAAACGAAAACAACAAGGCACCCAGAACTTGGGCGGAGTTCGTCTCAGAACTTCACACGGCATATGAATTATTGGACAAGGATGACAAGAAGCGAACGGAGCTAGAAGCCTTCGTCAAGAAAGATCATCGAGACTTCCGAAAGTTCGCAGAAGACTTCCGTCCAAAGGCAACTGGTACAGGCTTCTCGGACCAGGACTTGATCGAAAAGATCAAGAAACATATTCCGGAGAAAACGTGGCTGCTCATGCTAGCAGATACCACTAAGGATAACTGGCCCAAGAAGTGGACCGAGTTCCTTACATTTGCACTCCGAATATTTACATCACTACAACGAGAAGGCCACCATGCCAAGGCCGAAACCAAGGACCTGAATGCTATGGAGGTTGACGCAGTCGAGAAGAAGGGAAAGAGTAAATCGGGCAAAGCGCGAAGCGTGCAAGACGACAAGTTGGTCTGCGCCAACTGCAAGAAGAACAAGCCAACATTCTTCAAATCATCGAAACGCTTCGGCAAGTATTGCACCGATTGTTTCAAATTGGACCATGTCAAGAGGCAGATTGAAATGGAGAAGGAGACAGCTGCGAAGAAGAAAGATGGGAAGAAAAAGGACGATGCCAGGAACAAATCCAAGTCGTCCAAGACGCGACAGGTAGTATCTGATTCCGCTTCATCAGATGCAGAGAGCGAAAGCTCTGATACCGAAGAAGAGAAGAAGCCAAAGAAAAAGAGCTCTTCCTCTAAGACTAAGGGGAAGGGTAAGGAGACAGCTGCGCATATCAGCGACCGCAGCATCCACTCAGAAAGCGAGCCTGATGCATCCGAGTCAGATGAAGATTTCGCTGCGATCCTCTCAAGGCTCAGGCGCCTGAGGGCGAATGGATCCAGTTCATCAAGGAAGGCAGGAGAGGGCTCTTCAAGGAGGGATCAGAAGGGTTTTCTCAAAGGGGATCTGTAGGCAGCTCGTCAGAGTCCCCAGAACATTATATAAGACCTGTACATTTAGCACCCGGTTCAGACACCTCTGTAGATCGTTGCAACGCAGAGGATGAGAATGTAACAATAAAGAATTCATCTCCAAATTTATCATCATTCTATTTACCAGTTACATTATGGGTGTACGGCAAAAAATTGAGCGCCGAAGCTTTAGTCGACTCAGGAGCATATTCCATGTACATCAGCAAGCGGTTCATAAAGAACAATCGAATTGCAACCTCCAAGCTTAATACTACGTACAAGGTGTACAATGCTGACGGATCCCAAAACAAACATGGGGAAATAACTGACTATGTAAAAGCATACCTCAAAGTCGGAGATCATGGTTCCACCCACCGTCTGCTAGTCACGGACATTGGGAAATTAGACATGATCATTGGGATGTCATACTTATGTCAGCATAATTCAGAAATCAACTGGCAAGCTGGAGAATGGAAATACTCACGATGCCCGAGTACGTGTCACCACCAGAGGCTTCGTAAAAAACAACAAGCCATTGCGAGAGAGGAAGCTGAAGAAATCTCGCAACGAGCACAACAAGTGGCAGATGAGGAGCCAACTGCATTTCGAATGTTTAATGGACACAACATCGATGCAGTAAATCCTATCATCTCGTGGGTCGAAATGGACGACCCCGAAGCCGAACAAATAGCCCGCATGATACTTTCTATAGCAGATTGCGGCTATGCTGAATCAGAAGAAGACCTGAAAGAAGCGGCACCCCAGTCAAACACTGGCAGCCCAGAAGATCAGGTTATTAATGAAGTAGAATCTTGGAAAAAACTAGTACCAGATTATCTACATTCATTTGGTGATGTTTTCTCCAAGAAAGCATCTGAAAGGATGCCAACTCGAAAGCCTTACGATCATGCAATCGAGTTTGAAGAAGAACATGAATTACCACGACCAAGCAAACTCTATCCTATGAATCCGGAGGAAAGAAATTCCCTAGATTCATGGATCGACGAAAACCTAGCAAAAGGCTACATTCGAAAATCGAAATCACCTATTGCTGCCCCAGTATTCTTTGTCAAGAAGAAGGACAGCACACTAAGACTGGTACAAGACTACTGAAAACTTAATGCTATAACCAAGAAGAATCGCTTCCCTATTCCACGAATAAGCGAGCTTATCGATCAGCTCAGTAATGCGTCAATATTCACCAAGCTGGATCTCAGATGGGGATACAACAATGTTCGCATCCGCAAGGGTGATGAATGGAAAACAGCTTTTGTGACGCATCGCAGTTTATACGAGGCCACGGTTATGTTTTTCGGTTTCTGTAACGCACCAGCCACCTTCCAACACATGATGAATGAGATTTTAGATGATCTTATTCGGGAGGGCCATGTGATCGTCTACCTCGATGATATTCTAATCTTCACTAATGATTTGAAACAACATCGGAAGATTACCAAAGAGGTAATTAAAAGATTACGGGACAACGACCTTTTTGCCAAACCAGAAAAGTGCTTTTTCGAACAGCCCTCGATTGAGTACTTAGGGATGATTATCTCTCAAGGCGAGGTCCGTATGGACCCTCAAAAGGTCGCAGGTGTACTCGACTGGCCTGCACCCAAGAAGGTTAAGCAAGTACAAGCTTTTCTTGGGTTCGCAAATTTCTATCGTCGATTCATTGAAGGATTTGCCAAAAAGTCTCGACCACTTAATATCCTTACACGAAAGGATCAGAAATGGGTATGGAGCGAAGAGCAACAACAATCATTTGATGCTCTCAAGAAAGCTTTTACAACAGCTCCAATTCTGGCATTACCGGATGATACTCATCCATTCCGGTTAGAAACGGATTCCAGCGATTTTGCCACTGGCGCATGCCTGGAACAACTCAAAGACGATGGGTTGTGGCATCCAATTGCATTCTATTCGAAAAGCCTCAATGAGGCTGAGCGGAACTATGAAATCTATGACAAAGAGATGCTCACAATCATTCGAGCATTGGAAGAATACCGACAACATCTCGAAGGTCATCCGCTCCCAGTAGAAATATGGTCCGATCACCAGAATTTAACCTATTTCAAATCAGCACAAAAGCTGACGAGGCGGCAAGCTCGATGGTCGCTATATCTTACACGGTTCAACATCCAACTACATCACAAACTAGGGAAATCAATGCATCGTGCGGATCCTCTGTCCAGGAGGCCAGATCATGAAGAGGGGGTAAATCTCGATAATTCCGACAAGACTCTGCTCAAACCGGAATATTTCGCGATTAAAGCTATTCAACATACCCATCTTGCAGTAGTCACAGATCATGATTTGGTGGACAAGATCAAGGAGGCACTACAAGATGACAATGTGAACAAATCATATCAAGACCTACTCAAGAAAGGACAACGAGAGTTCTCAAAAGGACTCGAAGACTGGAACTTTGAAAGTGGGATATTATTATACCGAGGCAAAATCTATGTGCCGAAAGCAGATAATAAGGAATCACTTAGACGAGAAATCGTTCAGCGTCATCATGAAGCTGCCAGTGCAGGTCATCCTGGAAGATGGAAGACATATGAGATGTTATCTCGCAATTACTGGTGGCCGGGAATGTCCACTTACGTCAAAAAGTATGTTGGTTCTTGTGACCTTTGTCAACGCAACAAGAACATCAATCAGCCAAAATACGGAGAATTACAGCCAAATGAGGTTCTAACAGAACCTTGGGAAATTGTCTCTGTTGACTTAATCACTCAATTACCAGAATCCCATGGATTCAACGCAATTATGGTAGTTGTCGATCGTTTGACCAAACGAGCGCATTTCTTTGCAATCACCAATGAGTTCTCAGCATCAGACCTTGCTCGTACTTTCTATGAGAGGGTATGGACACAGCATGGTCTTCTGAGACAGATTATCTTGGACAGAGGTACTCAGTTTGCAAGCGCATTATTCCAGGAAGTATGCAAACTCCTTGGAATACAATCAACAATGTCATCCGCATATCATCCGGAGACCGATGGTCAAACTGAAAGAACAAATCAGTCGCTAGAGCAATATCTTCGTATTTATACTGATAAACGCGTGGAAGACTGGAGTACTTTACTTCCAACTGCCGAATTCGCCTATAACAATCAGGCTTCTGAAACCACTAAGAATTCACCATTCTTTGTCGAATACGGTAGACA